ATCTTAATATCAATAGTAACAGATAAAGTAGTTTCACGAGTCCCTTATATTTTAAGGTCAGGTACATGTATGTAAATCAGTGGAAGGGAATTGGCTTTTCACCATCATGGAATGGTATCAGATCAGATCATACCTGTGGCTGAAAATAGGTTAAACCTCCTAACCACATTCCCTTGTGTTAGATTTTGCCAAGTCCAAATCATTTGCAAAAAGAAAAAGATCGGCAAGAATGGGAGTACAATTGGTACCCATGGCTTAACGCTTGTCATATCATTTCTGTGCATTTATTCAGATCTAGCAATATCTAACAATTGCCCGGACTTCTGTACATAAATATTTTGACAATCGACACGTGGCATTTGACGTCCTCTGTTTACTGTATTACATGACAGTTTTCATCTGACATGCCTACAGATTGTACATGGTCATCCTAGTCCGGAAACATTTCATATTCTTATTCATTTTGTACTGACTGTCCTACTTGTCTGTTGAGGAGCTGCTCGATAAGAAGTGGTCCTCCATCAACCCATGTTTGTCGTAACAGGCGATTTACAGGATACGTTGGTGAGGCTGGATGACTTGGTTGATGGCAAGAACCGAACACCAATTTCTTGTTTCCAATTATGTATGATTATGTCAACATTAAGCACACGTTATCTGCGACCGATAATATATCCGATTGTAATCAAAGATTGCTACCGATGCAAAACCATTTCCGGTCTGTAGGAACAGCTTTTATCTCAAATTTGGCAGTTACATGTGCTTGTGTTTATGTAGTTTGGCTAGCAATGATACTGATAATAGTACCTGCTTGGATTCTTTTATAATTAATGTATTTTAATTTCAGATTTTGAAGATGTAATTTGTCCCACGCATATTGATTCATTGTGTTAATTTGGTGATATTTCGTATGGTTTTGCAGACATTCAAGACCATACAGACGATCTACCGAGGCTTGTGCCACTATTTATAAAACACATTCCTATTTACTCTCATCAAAGTCTGTGTTTCCGTACATTGATCACGTGTTCACTTTATAATGCTTTTCTTGTTTATTTGTCTCATTGTTGAACATACAGGGAAATACAGCTCAGGTTAATCCAGTTTCTACACGCAAAGCAACTGTCAATTCTTTCCGTTATTGACTATTCAAGTTAGCTGCGCGAGTTTACGCATAACAAATATTCAGTCCCTCAATCCCCAAAACCCTCTTCACATCCCGTTCCATCCCATCCCATCCGATCCCCCAACAAGTGAGAAACGTCTGTTCAACTTGGTATTAATGAAAAGAGTATTTTGTTTGTTAGTTTTGTTTTTTGTAACGCTGCACTCAGCAATATTCCAGCTATATGACGGCGATATGTGAATGATCGGATTTTGACCAGACAATCCAATGATTGACATCATGAGCATCAATCTATGCAGTTGGGATACGATGGCGTGCATCAACGAAGTCAGCCATCCTGACCACCCGATCCCGTTAGTCGCCTCTTACGACAAGGATGGGTTGCTGAAGACCTACTCGAACACGGGATCTTTACGAGTAGCATCATATTCAAAGCAATATCATAGTAATTTCCGCCACAATTACATTCCAGGCTTTGTTTTCAAAGGGTTTAGGGCACAATATAACAAGTGCAGATAAGTAAGACAGGTAACCCAGGACAGGTTATCAAAACAGATACATATTTAGGTACATCATGCAACGTTAGGTGCAACGTTCCTTTCACATCAGGAGGATGTAAATTAGAATAGATTAAACCCATTACAGGGAATGTAACCCCGGTTACTATTGTGAGGTAACGGCATTTTACAGCTTGCATTTAGCTACCCCACTGGCCCTTGTATGTCAGCGAAGTGACATGTATGATGTGATACTTGTCACCTGTTATGTTATTGTGTGGCAGTTTCTCCAGGGAGTGGATTTCGGGAGCTGGGTAGGGAGAGTTGGCAGTTGCCCTAATACATATATGTCATGAGCTTACGACATGATACATCTGGACGGATAAATCGTTAAAAGACACATTAAACTAAGTACTATCTATACAAAAAAATTAAAAAGCTGATTTAAAAGCTGATTTTTCACAAATTGATTCGGCATTTTTCATTTTTAGATTGTATAAAACCTATTTTTAAACAAACAGTTAAGATAACTTAGGATGTCGCATAAACCTTTTCTTATCAGTATATTCTTTTTCAATAATTTCAAGTGAACTGTATTTGGCTAACAACATGTATATAATACCTTGTTTGTTTGTCTATTTATAAGTAATTTAGTTCGTACAAGACAAACCAGTGATGGATATTATGATAATAAGTGTAAGTGACACATCCCTATCCATAATCATAAAAAAAGAATGTCCATTAAACGATTCCGAACACATCATAAGCATGTGTTTTTTCTTTACTCATGAGGAACATACTATCTATGCTTGTACACAACAGGCGTAATCAAACATGAACCAATCGATTGTTTACAAAACCAGTATATTCGATATCGTGTGACTCGATTTCTGGTCCATTTCTCGATTGCCTTGTTGCTTTACATGTCGCCATCGCATGGCAGGAGTACTGCTGTATGATGTCAGACAACAAATACATACATTTTCATGCAAATTGTGTGAGGGGCGTTTGCTACCGATAGGGCAGTACATGTTTAACTTTTTCGCGAACACGAGGTGTAATCATTGATTTTCATATAATTTTCACCGTTTTTTTTCCTTTTACGCCCAATCTAATGTGTTTCGGCGGATAATCGAGAGTGATTATTCTCTTGCCCTGACGTATAATAAAACCCGATTTATTACTGTCTTCTGCATGAATGTACTCACAACTGACCGATAATTCGGACTACAATCATAGGCCAGAACTTAAGTATAAGATAAAATTAAGAATATTTTTTTTTAGTCCGTAGACAAAATTATTCGATTGTGTACAAGTCACATTTATTAAAACATAAAATATAAATGTCAGGCGAAAATTAAGTGAAGATCACCAAAACCCAAGTCCGGATGACAATGTAGGGTCGAATGTTCACTTGTGTGGTACGTCCATTGCATTGATGATGCAGTTAGATTCAGTTTGATTAGTGTACTCTTCAAAAACAGAAACGGATATATTTGCCCATAAATGCCAAATTGGCAGACCAAGAGGTGCAAAATGAAGAGGTTTGATGTGTTATAGTGTCAGTGACAAATTTCCCGGATCTAAATGATCTCAACAAGGACATGCAAACCATGAGACACGTACGATTCGGAAAAAACACACCCAGTGCATAAACAAAAGGGGCATGGAGCTGCACGTACTGCACGTGCAGCAGCCAAATGAACGGTATTATTAAAGTGCAGGGTTTTTTATTGCCTGGCATCTGCGTCATTCGAACAGATTAACAGAGGTGCAAAGAAACAACGTCATAGGCCGCTTGAAGGCAGGGGAATCCCGATCGGCGGTAGCCAGAGTTTTCAATGTAGCGCCCAGCACAATCACAAGGCTATGGGGTCGGTTTCAACAGCATAGGTCAACACATGACCGGCCAAGGTCGGGACGACCAAGAGTAACCGCCCCCGCCCAAGATCACTACATCTGACAGCGCCACCTTTGTGTAAGGACGACCACAGCGACCTCACCCGCTTCCCAAATACCCGGACTGCGCAGAATCTCCGACAAGACCGTCCGAAACCGTTTAAGAGCAGCAGGTCTACGAGCAAGACGTCCTGTTCGACGCGTCATATTGATTCGATAACATCGTCAACAGCGACTGCATTGGTGTCGTCAACACAGTGTATGGCCTCAACTGCGATGGAGAGATGTCTGGTTCAGCGACGAATCAAGTTTCTCCTCCGTCGAGGAGATGGAAGAGCACGAGTCTACAGACGTCGGGGATAACGTTACGCCGGAAACTGCGTACAGGAAGTGGACAGGTGGGGGTAGGTTTCATGGCAGGACAGGTTTGGTCCATATCCAGGGCAATATTACGGCTCAACGATACACCAACGAATTCTCCTAACACACGTCCTCCCAATTGCTGCCAACGGTGTATTCCAGCAGTATAACGCTTTACCGCATACATCACGGATCACAAGAGTCTGTCTACGTAACAACAACGTTGATGTTTTCCCCTGGCCCCAAAGATCACCGGATTTGAACCCGATCCACATGTTAGAGGAATTGCATAGACGGCTACGCCGACGTCAACCACAACCCCAAACGTTGCAGCAGTTGGCTTTTGCGTTGCAGACCGAGTGGGCTACCATTCCACATGATGTGATTAGCATACTCGTCTCTTCCATGGGCAGGAGGTGTCAGGCCGCTTCCGATTCCAACGGGGGACATACGCGTTATCGATGTTAGCTGCCCTTCACCTTTGACTTTTCCTATATACCGATAACTGAGATAACTACAGTCACCAAGTGTTTTCTCCACAGTATTTTGGCTCAATACCTTGTACGGTTCCTCGTATAAATGTACCTTCCTACCTCACACAAATCTGGCTTTGCGTTTCTTTTTGTTTCTTTTTTTGAAGAGTATATTAGCACCAAGACCAACCAGAGAAAGTTATAATAAAAAATTGATTATTTTACACCATTTGAATAGCTCGCTACTGAATATATACCACATGCATTTCTTGCGACTGAAGTCAAAAGGTACGTGAGTTGCATCACTCTAGTTGCCTTCAGTCATCATATTTGAAAATCGAAATGAAATGGCTTTATTACTAACCCAATTAAGTGATTTTATAACCCTTTGAACTACTGATAAAAACAAAGGTGGTCTTACAATCAAATGTCCTACATGTCTATAAAACCATGGATACATGCTTTACAAAAGCACATTTTATCTCGTTTCTGAATAACAATCACATGATATCTCATTTCATATGACCTGACTCCCTCTAAGCATCAGTTTACACCACCCGTACTTCTGATTAAATAAGAGTGGTTCACCGGTTCCCTATGTTTCCGGATTGAATGTGTGCAGGGAGTACTTCAGAGGGCGTGGCTACACGTTATCATGTGAAGGCGCAGTACACAGCAATCTCAATACGACCAGGAAGAAGATTGGTATGCGACGCCACCCATACTATACCGACAGCTAGACCTCGCACAGGTGAAGCACGGCAAACTCCAGGAATATTGCTCTCTCAAACACTTCATAACGTTTTACTCGTTATCAAATGTTGCTAACTCGATGAAGTACCAAACTCAACAATGGCTGTTTATGGATTTTACCTACTGACGCTCCTGTTTGTACTTGGATATCGGGTATGTCACGTTATTCATATTGTGTTAACGTATATGATACACAAACACAAGTTAGTCTCCTAAGACAGCCTAAAGTATCTGAATTTGGACAACTTGGTCTGCCTGATTCACCTATGTGTTGACACAAATGCAGCAGGTATATTTCTATGCATAATTATTGACATCATTGACAATTCAGGTGGTATGTCGATGTTCAACTTAATATTATTTGCTCTTTACAAGCTATTGCATACATCAACCACTGAATGCTTTGCAGGAACAAAAGCTTGACACGACAGCTGCAAAATTATTTTTCGAAAATATAACGAAAAATACATTTCCATGATCGTTAAACTTAAAATATAGTTGCACGATTCCACATAAAACATCATTATATGATCATTATCAGTTATTGATAATACCAGCTGTTCGCAAAAAGTGATTTGTTTACCTGATCAAACACGAAAAACATCTATATCCTGGCGCTCGTCATTAAAAGGATAAAATTAGGACTGGTCTGAGTGGGTTATTCATGTTAAAATTGTGGCATGGTGTCTCAGTGGGCTAACAATAACATTTATGTTGAAACACACAGGATCAGGTGGGCAATCATAAAAGGCAATACAATGGACCAACAGGGTGTTGCTGCAGAAAGAAATAAAGATTCTGATATATATGGGTTCGTGCACTTACGAGTGTCCAGTATTTGTCTTGAATGAGGCAAGTGCTCCGATCTTGAATCAACAGTGTTTCAAGCAGGCACGGAAGTTTTCCCATACGTACCCCGCACTGGGCAAGTAGACAAGACGCAAGTCAGGTCGTAAAAGGAGGCTTTGAATCGCCCTCGTCTCGCTAAGGCCGTCCAGAAAATTATTGAACCACGTCGTCAGTACCGGACGTGAATCGACAGGTTTCGCGTATCGTGACTCTCTCTATGCGGGGTATAGACGAATGTGTCAATCGCCGGGACGGCGTCTGACCTAGGGGGTGTAACTTAAATTACCACCTGTCGATGTATGAACCAAAGCTTGATATTGTACGAGCGCCTCAATCAAATTGCTGCCACTTTAAATCTTTTGAAATATGTAGACAATATCATACAATACATACCGCCGCATAACACACACTTGCAGCTACGTCGCTATATAATTGCAATAATCTTGAACGACACGTTTACCCTCATGCTACGTCACCTCACCCCACCTCGCCTCATGGCATCAAGACCCGTGAAGATCCGTGGTAGAATAGGTCTTCAGCAACCCATGCTTGCCGTACAAGGCGACAATGCTTGTCGTAAAAGGCAACTAACGGGATCGGGTGGTCAGGCTCGCTGACTTGGTTGATGCATGTCATCGATCCCAATTGCGTGGATCGATGCTCATGATATCAATCACTGGATTGTCTGGTCCAGACTCGATTATTTACAGACCGCCGGAAATAATCGAGTCTGGACCAGACAATCTAGTGATTGACATCACGCAACACGATGACATGCATCACCCGCCTGCTTGACCACCCGATCCCGTTAGTCGCCTCTTACGCCAAGCATAAGCAAATAAGCTTAACCCTACTAGTAGTACATATGTCCTCAATCTGACTGAGAAGCATGATTATAGGTAAATTCATTTTAGTCCCTTCTGTCCCATGATGGTAAATAATACAAGATGTGTGTCATTTGATACGAAGCTGCCATCTACCAGGTAACATTACCACAGAGTCGGTCGATGTGATTCATAATGATTCCTGAATCGTTTTCGGCTCAACTTCAAACTTGTGTACTCCCTATAAAAAAGAGAATGCAAATTAAATGTACACTGATTTGTTCACGTGGGTCGTAATAGTACACGCCATGAAGGTGCGGTGTGTTGAACGTGTTACGGAAGTTCGGTGAAGTTCGGTCACTTAAGAAATGTACCTGACATTGTAATATTCATACTCTTTAATTTTCAAATGTGTTTCCTCTAAACTGAATTTATGTCTAAAATTTCCCAAATCCAGTTTTTTGTAACACAAATGTTAAATTGTAATTTGCCGCCATCTTGCTGTCAACCATCTTCTCGTGGCTTGAGTGTCCACTCGCCAATATCAAAGCCTAGTTTCTACTCTTGCTATTTCAAGTCTACATTTCTCTTCTCGATCGTGGCGCTACCCAGTGTTAAACACGAGTTGTGTCCCTTGTGGTAAAAACGCGATATCCAATCAGATCGTTGTTCTTATTTCGAACAGCTTCACAAAGATGCCTACCATAGCAGACGACCTGGTAGATCATCCCATGCAGACAAAACTAACTGACAGATTACAAAAGTAGAGATATTTATTACCATCTTGCACTTCCGCATCAATATAGGCATACAGACTACACGGTATGAAGTAATACTGCACATCGCGGTAACATAACGCTCAACCTCTGTAACCAACGCTGCCGACCAGTATAAATTGTTTTGATAATAATTAAACATTTATTGAGTGAGTGAATTTGTTTTTACGCCGCCTTTAGCAATATTCCAACAATATCACGGCGGGGGACACCAGAAAACGGCTTCACACATTGTACACATGTGGGGAATCGAACCCGGGTCTTCGGCGTGACGAGCGAACTCTTTAACCTCTAGGCTGCCCCTCCGCCCTAAATATTTAGTACATTTTGCTATATAAATAGGATTAGCAAAAGATCCGCATTCAGCATAAGATCATGTGAATAGGTTGAGGCGTCTCGTATCGTAACCCGCTCAAATACTCGACCATGACGCAGAGTCTTGCACATTAGAGTAAGGATGTGACAGGTGATACGGGATGAGTGAAGATGGAACTCCCTGAGCACATCCTAATCCACACGAATTCCTGGACTGGCTACCAATATCGCAAGATTGTGTCGGGATAAGAAAGAATTTAAATGATTTTAAACATTCATGATAATTGTATAGTTACTTATCCTGACATAAGTCTCTATGTTTTATGGTGTTTTATGAGATGCTTCAAGGTCACTTCACACTAAAATCTGCTTGCTACACTAAATGTCTGGGTTATCGACAGTCTACACAGGACTACTGCGTCTGAGTCACAGATATAGTTCACTCGTTCGAGTTATAGAAACAATGACATTTGCACTTAAATATATAGAAATACTTGGGAGAAATGATTGAAAACGTCAAACCATTTCGAAAATATTTGTCTTCGCTTCATTTAGAATAATTTCAGCGAAAATTCACTGAAAAATGACTGCAGCGATAGCAGCGACAACGTATTCGGAACGGCTTTTCCTCAAACAAGACCATATGTGGAGCCTCTGTATATAAAGGCTTCGTCTCCGCTATATTTTCATTTCAGCCTTTGAAATTGATAGACAGGACAAAAGTGAAAATAAACCATCGATGTTCTGAATATGATATTTGCATTAACGATGTCACGATCTATCCAAATCTTCAAAGTTGTATATACCCATGAGACTTGCACTTAAAGATGTGTCCACTTCGTGCGACATTGTGTGAAATACTGATGAAAGCATTGTTAAACCAATCTCACTCACTCATATGATGAATTCGTCGTGCAGAGTTGTGTCCCCTAGACGTGCCAGGAACCTGTAATGGTAGGAACGGTTCGAGTCACCGATTCATCCTGATTATGTTTCTATGTTTGTCAGCTCCATACCTAAGTTTGTGGGTTTAATCAACATGTTCAAGTCTAAGACATAACGTGATCTAACTGACACCCTTTTCAAAGTGGAGTTCAAAAATTGTCACTCATGATAATACTTTTAACGAGGAGATATTCAGAGATCTTTGTACACTAAGAATATGTTTCACAATACTGTATAAGCAATTATATCAATATCAATATATAATACTGTAACATCAACCTTCGGGTAACCGACAACCCAAGGACTTCTTCTTTACGGACGTATGTCGGATACCCATTGGTAATTGTTGTGACTGAGTTGGAACCCATAGTAGCATTCATTTGTATATGGTGGATCACGCTTTGGTAACGGTTTGGAAATATTCAGTAAGAACCATAAGCTGAAATGTCGCGTTGTCGTGCTTTGATAAACTATAGAAAATAAACAATAACCAATGTGCATGTATGTATGTCTGTTTATTGTTTAACGCCGCACTAAGCAATATTCCAGCTATATGACGGCGGTCTGTAAATAATCGAGTCTGGACCAGACAATCCAGTGATTGACATCATGATGACATGCATCAACCTAGTCTTAGTGATGCGAATTAGTGATGGTATGTCACACTGTCGTAATTTTCCCCTTAACCCACGTGTTTTTCTCTTCAGTATAACTGTGATCATTTGTGAAGAACCTCTTCGTGCGCTCTACGGCACACACATAGTTACCCGAAAGAGTGGCATGTACATGTCTCTTTTCCTGATATTCCTGAATTATATCGGAAAAATATCAATGCATGTATGAGTTCATATTGTATCACTTGCGTTCTTTTCTTTTTTAGTCATGCAGTGCATCATCAACGTCAATGACAACGTCATCTTCAGCACCATCGACATCACCTACGACACCGACATCACCTACAACCCAACAAAGTGAGTATCGATGTCTAAGCTTGGAATAATGTTGCAAAACTTTAATACTTATATTCATTGCTGAACCATCCAAAATTACACCAGCTGTCAACGAATGCATACTATTAGTTATATGCTCTCAGCATACATCACTATTGATATCTCATTTACCCATAATATATATTTAACACAACAAAAGATGTTCATCGGACCCGATCCTCTTGACACTGTTTTGTTTGATTGTTTGTTGTTTAACGACCAACTCAGCAATATTTCATCTATATGACGGCGGTCTGTAAATTATAGAATCTGGACTTGACAATCCAGTGATTGACATCGTGATTATCGATCTACGCAATTGGGATACAATGATATGCATCAACCAAGTCAGCGTGCCTGACCATGCGATCCCGTTCATCGACTATTACGACAAGTATATGCGTCTTTTCCAACAAGCATGGGTTGCTGAAGACCTCCGTTAACTCGGATCTACATGGGTTGCTCAGCAGAGTATTAATATTGATGTCACATATCTATGTACAGCACTTCTACATCGACGAAAGACATGTTCTATCATTCTACAAGTTCAAAATAATCTTTAGACATTTTTTCGCATAATTACCCGTATATAGCAATTTCAATTGATGCGATTGAAACTTTAAAGAATATTTTTATGACATTAGTCTATTCACTGTAAAATATATATCATGCCATGTATGTTTGTATATGCAGTTAAAAAGAATATATAATATTTGATTTGTTAGCTATTAATGGAGCTGTTCGTTGCTTCGGTATTTTATATACACAGATGGTTCGAGAATTAAAAGAATTGGTTGGTGGATCCGTAAACTAAAACAGTTAGAAAAATCCGGCCTTAGAATAAAAAAGCTCAACATCAGAATTATATATTCCTTAAGTATGCCATAGGCAACATGTACATGTACCCTGTTCATGGCTGACCCAAACCCGTCAGATAACAATGGAATCCTTGGTTGGACGCTGTTACAATGTTGCCTTTTAGTAACAAACATAAATATTATTAAAAGCGCGTCATTTGGTCAATGCAAAAATTTGGAGAAAAAAAACTCGCATTGTCGCCATGTGTACTTTGGTTAATTTGGTCAATGTTTGCTTTCTTTTGAGAGGGCGACAACGTGACAGAATACCCTTCTCGGATTAGATAGACACAACGGCTTTGCGGACATGTGATTTATTACTGAATGGATGACGTATCGAAATGTAGATTTTATGGTACTTCAACTTTATTTAGTCCTTCTTGTGGGTTTTTCGAAAGAGTACATGTCATTTATGACGACCTCTCCCTCCTCTCAAAGTAGTTATAAATGACTTGTAGCTTGGAACGTGTACCGTGATATATTAGTCAACCTGTTGTAACAATCTTGTACCGACTGCCTTTTCGTGTCATGAAATCTTCATTTCCTCTTGACTGGAACAAATTATAGGGTTGGTAATAAAATAGAGGATTGTCCCTTCAGTTTTCAATTTGAAAGGAGAACCATGCATGGGGATATCGGTAAGAATGACAACAGTGACGCACCCTTCCAGTCCTGTCTGGATTAATGCATGCCGGTACGTGGTTATATTACGAATTTGATAGCCTCAGTATCAATCACCTTGGAGAACAGAGTTCGGACTACCGGGGCCTAATGAAATACTGTTTAGCCCTAAGATATGCCTTTATGTTTACATATATTGATTTAACTGAGTGAGTGAGTATGGTTTTACGTCGCTTTTAGCAATATTCCAGCAATATCACGGCGGGGAACACCAGGAATGGGCTTCACACATTGTACCCATGTCGGGAATCGAAACATTATATGACACTATCTTTTCACATGGCTAGTTGATTTTAAGTTATGCGTTTTCAAAAAAACTGTATCAAGTCATGGTTGATGTATCACAACGGCTAAATCTTCAGTTCCAGGGGTTGGCTACAACCAAACATGCACAAACGATACGGCTGACCAATGTATCAATACAAATGCAAATGCCAGCTGTCATGACGGTACTTGTCGGTGTGATGTGGGTTTCTACAGGAAGGACAACAGCTGTGTCCTCAGTAAGTGGTCACAAACATTAAACATACGTTTTACTGTCAGTGCCTTCCATATTGTGAATACATTTGATATATACATATGTCGGAAACTCTACCATTTCAAATTGTATTTTAGTACATATATGTAACGCTTTCTTAAATACGTAATATTTTACAAAGCGAACTGAAGTAATCAGCTTCGGAAATGCACACATTATTGCATAGAAAAGTTTGCCTGATAAAGACAACATCTGCGGAACAAAAAATACATTCTTGTAATTATCGAAGATTGCCTGTAAGCATGATCACCATATGATACACCTATTTCTCTTCACAAAATTTCATTTTGCCCACAAAATACATTTGAAAGGTTCATGTTATCAAAAAAGGATCGATACGGTTTTCTATGATTTTATCTGGCATCATGATGAATATGTAGACTTTTCTTGAAATGCTGTTCAACATGAATGAATACTGCGTAAAATACTACCTTAATAAAATTTCTCTTCAGTGTCTGTGATGACAAGACGTATTTCTATTATTTCAGTCGACGGCCTCAAACCCACATCTGTGAGTGTCACCGTGGACAACACAACCACAATGACAGCAGACTGGTCATCGCCCTCTGACACCTTTGTTACCGGGTATGAAGTATCTGTGACAGGCGATGACACTCCGATCAATATCACTGTTGGGAGAGACAACAGGACCACGTCCATCACAGGCCTGACTCCGGGAAGACAGTACAACGTGTCTGTCAAGACAAAGATCACCTACCTGCAGGGACGAGATGAGGAGACAACCGCTGTTTCTGCGCAACCTAAAGTAACAAGTACGTAGAACAGGAAAGAATGTACAATTGTTGCCGGTCAACAAGAGCAAGTTCTTATTGATAGCCAACTTGTACTTGTTTCATAGAGGTGTTAGAATCTACACCAAATCGTAATTGTAATAAAGAGATATTCACACCGACTGCTAAATGAGACTTAGAAAATTCCACAAAAATATACTTCCTTAGCGTGCATAGCCTGAAATAATTTTCTATAGGTCTACAGTGTTTAAAGCCAACTGTCACGCGCCGCGGTAGTGGTGCATTGATACTAGGCACCGACACCAAATGATGTCCTCTTACAAATGTGTGTGTGTGTGTGTGTGTGTGGCTGCTTGTAACCCACTCAGACACGGTATACTGACTCCGAGCCGACCAGTCTTTGCCCTTTAGCCCTTTAATGCCGAGCGTAACATAGAATACCGAGGATCGAACCCCAAACCTTCCGCTCTCCGGTCGAACGCTCTACCACAAGATCAAGGAGGCGGTATATACTAGTATCTTAAAAGAATCCATCACTTGATCATGAAACAAAAGAGATGCACAATACTCGACTACAAAATAGACAGTGGAAATAGTGTATGGTTATATTTATTCTTAGGTTTCTGACCATAGTCTTTGTGTGTCAGATATTACGAAATAGCTGTATGTGGAATCGTAATGATTATTTTGGAGGATAAAAACATTGTGCATGGTAATTGTTTCTTATTCATAATTCATTTTCCCACTGCATGTATATGACGGCGGTCTGTAACTAATTGTGTCTGGACCAGACAATCCAGTGATTTATATCATAAGCATCGATCCACGCAATTGGGAGCGATGACATGCATCAACCAAGTCAACGAGTCTGACCACCCGATCCCGTTACGACAAGCAAGGGTTGCTGAAGACCTATTCTACCCGGATCTTCACGGGTCAGATGTCTATGTATTATATTATGCATTTGTTGATGACTTGTCTACAGCACCAACATCTTATAAAAAGGCAATTAAACATTTCATTTACGAAGATTAGCAATATCTTACACGAATGTTAAACAATACATATGAACTATTGCTCTCTTCGTTATCTGACCTATCTTCTCTTCAAGATATGTATATTTATAAATAAAAAAACATATTAACATGCATATACTGCAACGTAATAAGTCTGTCTGAAATCATGTACGTTAAATCTACTGTATCTGTGTGGGACATGCTGATAGACATTTTCATTCATCAGATACCTAAGTACAGCTCTTTATCGTTTCAATTGCGACATTTAAGTTTACATCTCGTCTACGATAGGACCGTACTGTTTGCTAGATATATCACAGTTGACGAAATAACGTATATGCATTTGTAAACAAAACATAATACAATATAGTTCTGTATGGGGATGTATGCCTTACAGTTAGCCTGTGTCGTCTGTGGTTTGGATTTGTCGCTGAGAGGAATGAAATACCAACATATGTCCTGACAGAAACAGATTGACATGAAACATGTCACAAATACCGTGTAGATAGACGGACATTTCCGCTTGTAAAATATTTTGGTTTATTTAACACATTAGTATCAAGCGGCATGTAATTGTAATATTTTGTAATCAACGTGTTTTTGTTGGTTCTGATCAGCACCTGATACCGTGGGTGGGCTCGGCGACAAGACCAACCTCACAGCCCCGGACATCACCATAGACTTCCTGAATGCTGACGGTGATGTCCAGTACTACCTGGTCCAACTACAGGGGATAACTGATGTGAGCTATCTGCAGACAAGAAACATCACCTCACTTGTGACGAGTACGACTTTCAATGAAGTTGTGTCTTACCACCAGTACACTTTGACGATAACAACGCACAGTAATCAACAATCAAGTATCCCTTACACCAGCCCGATTCGAGTAGGAGCATCACGTAAGTAGCTTTATTATAGTGTTACATGGTCCAACTACAGGGGTTAACTGATGGGAGCTACAATAAATCAAATGTCGTCACTGCACCTGCGACGAATACGATTTTCAATGGAGTTGTGTCTAACCACAAGTACACTTTGACGATAACAACGCACAGTAATCAACAACAAAGTACCCCTTACATTCAGACGATTCGAGTTAGGGCTTCACGTAAGTAGCTTATAGCCTTACTGCCTTCTGTTATTAATGTGGTCGTTATTTAATTGTTCTGCAAAGAGCACATGTCAAATTATAAAGACAGAACAAGCAGGACCAAGTACAAGAATTAAGCCGTTTAACGCACAAAATATTTACTTGTATGACATAGAGACAGACAATAATTTGTGATCCGGAGAAGATGAACAACTGGTAACTGACGTTTTGGCACATGGTTCATGAAACGGCACGAATTGGTAAAGACACATATGAGCTAAAGACATCTTCCTTTTCGGGGTGTCTCGGCCAATATACCTACAGCGCAGGCTATCGTTGCAGAGGTTAACGTTTCACGAACAAAACTGCCGATAAACCGCGGTAAGTATGGGTATAACTGACCTATATCACACTCCCGGGCGAGTAAACATTTTGTTTTCATTGTCTATTATGTGTGATGATTACCTGTCACAGCCGACAAATGTTATTGAAACGAACATAAAATATTAACACAAACATGTCCTTAAAACGTCAATTGTCTCCAAAATAATTATCTCTACTTCTACCCGGTGACAGAACTGTGATGACAGTGGCTTAACTATATAAGAGTTCGAAAGTTGAAATGTTTATCGTTTCTCTTAACTAAATGATTTTCATTCTCGAGACTGGAATGGTTAACACATTATCCAGAATGAGTTTAAGATATCCGAAATGAAAACAAATGTAAGTGTCTGGAACAGGTGTGTTGGCCAAAAAAACCTTCACTTAAAGCATATGAAACCATGGCAACGAAACCGGAAGCGGGGTAATAGCATTGCTGCGAACAGCAGGACACTCTTTTACTTGACGCCCCACACATTATGAATTCTGTATGAATGTACTGGAAGTGAAGAGTAAATTATTTTGAGACAATGAGACAGTAAGATACCATATCCTCAGGTTCCAGAAATAATGTTTGCACCAAGGTACCAACTGTAAGTACATGAAGTGGGAATGTTGCCATTTTTATGGTTTATCGAATTGTTTCATTATGTTCTTGAATCTTTGAAGTAGGAAAACAGTTATGGGATGAAGGATATTAATGCTATTCGGAAGATAGACATACCGACTGTATTTGGTTTACAATAAATTATTTTCAATAATATTTAGTAATAAGTGTCTATGAGACAGTTTCGATTCGTACGTTCACTTAAAATACCATTTATTTTCTTCTGTAGTGTAGTACAGGAGTCCGAGAGAGGAGAAACATCACCAGCACACACAAATCAAATAAAAGCGCCAATTAAAAAAGTAATATTGTTACATATTTTTATACTAGGAGCATTAATCACTGTTACACGAGCTATAAACCAGCAGCAACATAGGCTAGACCACCAGTGCCATATCGAAGGAAGGCCAACCCATCTATCATAAACACACCCTGCCATAAACGTGTGGTAATGTTAAGAAATGCTTAGAATTGTAGGTGTGGAATAAATAATTTAGGCATACGTTTATGCCTGTCTATATGAAAAGTATGTAGATATTCACAATAGTATGTGTTACGTGCATTGAAATGTAGGCATAATTGCTTTGGTAGACGTTATTCTTTCTGAATATCAAAGAGCTATTTTTAGCCAAAAATCTTGATATATTGCTTTGTAAGACTAATTACTACGCGAGGCTTTATGTTTTCATTTCCTTCCTACAATTCACTTTGCAAATATTTTAAAGGTCGAGTAGTGGGGAGAGGTCACCACATTTGGAAGCATCAATCCTTGTTTTATCCCTTTAATACCAAACTCCAGGCACCATCTTCTTACGCCCTTTGATACGACGCGGATAGTGAGAGAACCCCCAAACTTCTACTCTTCAGTCAGATGCCCTGTTAGACCAAGGGGGGAGTCTATACACAATTAAAAGGGGGAAGAAGCCTGATACAAGGGCATCATATGTTGGGATAAAACACATGAGAGTGTTATTATGAGACTATGAGATTTAAAACCCGAATCTAATGGGGCCTTTACACAGGATGGCGATCTTTGTGCCTCCCGTGTGCGACCATAGAATTTGCCAGGTCGTCGTTGGAGGCTCACAGGAGGCAGAATGGTTGCCTAGGTCGTTTCAAGGTGGTACACAGGAAGTTCAGACATCGTCATGGACGCCATGGTCGCCGTGAATTTTTGAACATGTTCAAAACAGTCGCACAAAGGTCGACAAGGAGGTTGGTTGCTCAAAGATGGCTCAAAGGAGGCAGAAGGGAGGCACAAGCCTTGCAGAATGAAGGCACAGTGGTCGCCCAATGGTCGCCAGGTAATAGATGCGTTCTGCTGAAATATTGTCCCGTACATCTGGGCGATGCTTCTGCCTCCCTTGTGCCTTCTTTGGGCGACCAACAGCGTGCATTGAACGATGAGTATGGCGATCGCCGGGCCTCCATTCGGCGATCACGGCAACACTTGAGACACCATGGCAATGCTTCTGCCTCTTTTCTGCCTCCTTTGAACTACCAGTAGTGCCTCCGCAGCCTGCCTATAAATAGAGGACTTGTACCTGCAGTGTTTCATTGTGGTTGCAGACGTTGAACAACTCGAGCACTTACTGCTGAACAACTGCTGGAGCAGTTACATAGAAACTTGATTTTCTGGGTTTAGGCGACCATTGAGCGTCCTGGCCAGTTTTTGATCGCTCGAAGGTGGCATAAAGGTCGCAGCCCTGTGTAATGGGGGCTTAGCCATAAAACCGACGGACGTCAGTCCCGAGGTTTTATCCCGATGTTGAACGTTATAAATCCTATAAAAACCCGAGTGTAAGTGTTTTATATAACTTATTAACCGAAAGATAATTTCCTTGAACCTTAGGACACGGGCGTTAAACATAAGTTTCTGGTGTGACAGGTACTTGAGAAAAAAATATTAAAAGTATTGTGATTTCTCAGCGCCTCTAGAAACCATTGAGTGTACCACGAGGCTACAGATGTTGCAAGTTCGCTCTACGGAAGCGAAGTGCTTCATGGTGAATTTACTCACGTGAGGCACTGTCTTTATCAGCTGATGAACGTCAACAAATACAAATTCAATCCTTATATTGACAGACACATAAGTTATAACAAAACCATCCATTAAAACTCCAAAATTAATTATTTAAAGCGAACTATATTAACGCGGAGAGTTGTTTTTTTCGTGACGTCATCCGTTCTAAAAAATATATTGGGAGAAATACGTCTCTAGGTCTATAAGTAATATAATGGCAGCTTCATTCGTTGAAATAGGTTCATTCAGAACAGTCGGAATTGGAATGAAATCCAGACCCGGTTGATTTGAAAATGGATTCATGTGAACGCTCTGTGAGTGTTCGAGTCATACTAAGGGCACTTAATTTAGGAGACCCGCCATACATACACGATCTGTATTAAGGTATTATCGTATGATGATGCCGTCCATATGTGACGTTATTTTAAGACTATTAGGGATTCCCCTAAGTAGTAATGTATCGCTCCGCTCGATTGACAACGTAAGCACGCGACATACTGGTGGTCATCGGGAAATGAAAGACACTTAGCTTAGTAGTGTTTATATTATCTAGGCGAGGTCACCCGCTACTCTCAATACTTGTCCATGAAAGTATGCATCTCCTGTTTTCAGATGTAAATAAATAAGACAGTCTTCTTTCATTCAATAGAAATATGTGTTTTCAGAGGCTGATTCTGTTGAGGATTTGATCCTAGCGGCGTTGACATCACGCAATGTTGAAGTGTCTTGGAAGCGGCCAAAGAAGACGAATGGAGACCTCTTCGAATACCGCCTGGAGGTGTCAAACATAACCTGTAAACAGCTGATTGTTTTCAACTGTACGGAATGCAAAAGAAATGTACGTTGTTAATGAATGTCTGCTGTTCCTTCCCGCGACTCAGGAACAAAATCAAAAGATCGAAATGAAAACAGTCGGAGAAAAACTTTACCTTTCAATGATTCACAAAACCTGATGGGCAATAGCCATTGAGATAATTGCAACAAGTTGTTAAACTGACATTGATAATATTTTCTTTTACATTCACTTTTCATTTTTTTAAGACTTCAGTGGAGGCGAGTGGAAACTGTGAAAACACAACTGTCGTCCATATATCTGAATCTGACATCAATAATGACACGCATGTAGTGAATTACACGATCACAGGACTCCTTCCAGACACTACGTATGTTGCTAAGGTAGCAGCTTATAACCAGGAGGGAAGAGGGGTGGAACGTAATCTATCGGAAACAACCGATGAAGAAGGTAAAGTATATTTTTTTCCCAATAACAATCTTATCTACTAATGTTATATTTGATATGATATGTCCGCGTGTGAAGATGCCATCATCTCCTAACTTATTATGCATGATAGAGCTATTTTCACAACAATGATTGATAACCTGGATGTTGATACATATGGTAAGAATAAAAAGGGGTTCGCGAAGATATGTTTGAAAATATTTTTTCTTGCCACTCATATGAACAGGCACAGTTTTATTGATGAGATAATGTTGCATTTCTTACTATATACTTCATCGTATATTTATGAAATAAGGCATAGTTACTTCATAATATCTCGAATAGAATACCAGCTTTGTAACATGTTAAACCTAAATGATTTTTGCGGTGATACTTTGGCAACTGATCACCCTAGACTACATCTATAAGTAACATTATCTATTTCCTTTGCGACCTATAATTACTGGTATGTCTTTATTCGATATTCCAGCTGCTAGTGAACCTACCGCTTTTACAGCGAAAATTAAAACCTCCGACAGCATAACGTTAACATGGGCACCACCTGTACCAAGACCCGGAGTTACTCACTACAACATCAGTGTCTACGAGAAGAATGAAACCACGAATGTCTACGACTATATCGATACCAAAGGAATAACTGGTAGGTCCTCCGATTTATCTGCAATATTCCGGATGTGTCAACATACGCCAAACACTGTACCACTGCTCCATAGTAAAAACAACACTTTTACTTTACGTTGCACCAAAAACGTATAAAATAAAAGTTATAACACGTGTTTCATTTGACCACTTTCTAAATGGCACTGCGTGTTCATAGCTTTCGGCCATGGGAAAGTTGTCGGACTTTCATTTTGTGGAAACCTTGGTGGCTGAGTTGGTTAGATTGCTGACTTTGTGTGCTGTCGGTGTGGGTTCGACGGACTCAACCCAAAAAAGTACGAGAATCTGTACTTTACTACGAAAGTGTTATCCCAAATATAACATTTGTTACATTTGACCACTTTCAAAATGGCATTGTGTGTTAAAAATTAAACGTTTCCGTGTATGCAAACTTGCAAAGCTAACGCTTAGTTATGTACAGATGATCATTAGCATTCACTATCTGTGTATGTATTTAAGGTGACAGTTCGACACACTAAACATTATTATGCTCCATGTGCTCTTGATTATAAAGTGTAGCAATCTTTTTCTTCAGGTTATGACCATAACATGTCAACAATGAACAATCTATCAAGTGCCTGGGAATACGAGTTTTTCATCCATGCCTTCACACAGAAAGGGGGATCTGGAAACGTCTCATCTGGTGTGGTGCTGACTGAAGAGTCGGGTGAGTTGTGGCATACAGACATGTGGTGTTTCAAAAGGTAGGTCACGATAATAATGATCATCATGTAATGGATAGAGGTATCGATGACTCGCATAATACACTTATCATTCCTTATAACGTACTGGCGATTCAGAAACACACTCGATGAATAATCTTTGACCAGTTTCATAACGGTGTAAGAATCTCCATCGCGACGTCGCTACATGCAATAAACCAAACGTTGTTAACCATAAAGTTGTACGTTTTCTTACTTTCGAACTTTTTTTATTCTTATTGCACCTGATTTGTATTTTACAAGGAGGTATCTATATGGCATTTGGTTCCGCTATCAACCGAAATTGACATGTTGAAAACAAAACGTAACGATCGGACGGACGGACGAAACTCCGGTAAAAAATCTTGTCATCGCTTTACGCCACACAACATACTGATGCAGCACTTATAGGGCATGCATTTGCTCTCTGGTTGGGAAACTACTTTTTCCACGATATTGTTCGCACTAAAAGTACACTTTGAGGTCAAGCTTACTGAATCACTGTAGAGATCATATTTAAGTTTTCAGAATTGACTTACACTTTGGGCTGGTTGTTTGGTTGGTTTGTTGTTTTACGCCGCACTCAGCAATATTCCAGCTATATGACGGCGGTCTGTAAATAATCGAGTCTGGACCAGACAATCCAGTGATTAATGTCATGAGCATCGATCCACGCCATTGGGATCGATGACATGCATCAACCAAGTCAGCGAGCCTGACCACCCGATCCCGTTAGTCGCCTTTTACGACAAGCATAGTCACCTTTTACGGCAAGCATGGGTTGCTGAAGACCTATTTTACCCCGGAATCTTCACGGGTCTACACTTTGGAAGTTCATTGGGCATGAACATTCAAAGAAAGAGACCAGATGTTTGAATATCGGTGCTCGTGACAAAGTGAAAGTTATTTTTTAAATGTTCGTCCAAAGTCAGAATAAGGTACAGATATATGATGTCATCAATTTGATTTCTCTTTCAGCGCCAACTGAAGCCGTCCACTACAATGTCACAAGTATCCTAAATGTTTACAACCGCATCAAACTGTCCTGGGAGTGTCCTGAAAAGAAAGATGGAAGGAACGGAATAATAAAAAGTTCAACTTTGATCTACTTCCCAAACGTAATTAATTTTTTAGTTAATTTTACGTCATCCATCTATGCAAACAAAACTCACTCATTTTATCTCACAGTATTCATCCAACTAAACGTTTCCTGTGAAGTTCAATCGCACGCGATTCCGCGAAGCACAGAATACACACGGTGAGATGTCAGATAGGCTGTGTGTAATTACAAGGGCTGAAGCGAGTAAATGGTCTTATTTACCGTAGTCAATATTTGTTTTATCGGTAAGAAATAATAGCAGAAATAATAAATAATAAACTCAGTAATATATTCTGTCAGATTTTGAATTTAACCTGATTACCCCAACTCATTTCTTATAAAAAAAACGACAAAACCGTTTCTATATTCATGAAAAATCTCTGCTCAAAGCAACGCCGAATGTGCGGTTTCTACTTTATCATGAGCAGGTGTTAATGGATCTCAAGGGGCGGGTAGCCTAGTGATTAAAGCGTTCACTCGTCACGCCGAAGACCCGGGTTCGATTCCCGACATGGGTACAGTGTGTTAAGCTCATTTCTGGTGTCCCCCGCCGTGATATTGCTGGAATATTGCTAAAAGCGGCGTAAAAACATACTCACTTACTATGGATCTCAATCAAATGGTGATGATTCCAGATGTTCGTGAAAAGGGTATCTATCCTGCCCAGCAGGGAGGACAATGACAACGAAGTATGGCTCAGTGTAATTTCAGCTTAGTCATTCTTGAAACATTTGTACTAACAACGGCAGCAGTTTTCTTGTGAAACTACAGCCTTTCAGCCAAACTCAGTGACCAGGGGACTTTTTTATGTTTTCGTACGTTCAGATACGTTTACAACATACGTCGTTTATGTAGAAAATGTTTCATTCTGAAATATTCAAAACAGCTGCCAAGTCTTTTGCCAGGAATTAGGGCTTGGTAATCAGTTGAATAATCAATGTTCCAACTATATGATCACTGAACGTATATAAACGCTTACGACATCATCTATATACGTGTAGGTAATCATTCTGGTATACGATTAGCTGCCCCAAAGATTGCAGTCACTACTGACGCAAAATAACTTTTATGATCGGAATAGATTGAGATCTTATTCAATTTGGGGGCGGTCGGGTAGCCTAGTGGATAAAGCGTTCGCTCGTCACGCTGAAGACCCGGGTTCGATTCCCGACATGGATACAATGTGTGAAGCCCATTTCTGGTGTCCCCCGCCGTGATATTGCTGGAATATTGCTAAAAGCGGCGTAAAACCATACTCACTCACTCCTATTTAATTTGATGTGAATCTGTACAACTTGTAATGGCTTTACTCCTCTACAACGTCCCTCATTTATTTACATGTCATTGAATCATTGTTTATCATTAAGTCACGATATTGCTGAAATACTGCCGATGTGACGGAAATTTTAACTCACTCATTTCATCTCACACTGTTAATCCAACTATGCGTTTCCTGTGAAGTTCCATCCCACGCGATTCCGCGAAGCAAATAATAACGTAAACTTAATGCATTCTAATATTATTGGTTTATAAACAGTAATGTAGTTTCTGAATTTGCTATAAACAAATAGAAATGGAAAGTATTATTTATTTTAAATAATGCAAGGAATTACAATTGGGGTTGTTGCATTTTATCTGTGTAAACTATGACTCCATGGGGCTAACAAAGCGATTTTTAGTGGCACTAAGTCCGAAAGTTTATATAGGTTTTACTCATAAACTGACAGTCGGTTCTACTTTCGTTACCTCACGAAACGTGTCCTCACCATTTTCTGAAAAGAAGCAGTGAAATGTCAAATATCTTCTTCTGAAGTTTACAATATTAATTGACCGTCGTTGATGAAGACTATTGTCATCATTCCTCTCATCGTTTCACACAAATCGATTCGAAGTATCTACACGTTATCATTTGTTATTATGGATATGATACCATCCTGATAAGGACGTTTGTTTTATCATATAGATCAAAGATCGACATTTGTTTATTCTTATCCATGATATATATTTTAGCTGCTGCTTTACTTAACATGCCCAAGTCACACAAACAACATATTCCGTATCTGTAGTTGGTATCTTCATACAGTAACAGGCAATTAAAGGCAAAAGGCGTGTCCTCGTAAGTACTAGTGGACACGAATGGTCCACTGGTCGCAGTTTGATGTGTACAGTTGCGCCCCAGACTCGTACCAGGATCCGCTTTACGCATGTTTGAATTCAACTCCCTCGTTAAGATCCCTGTACACCTGTTCTCGACCGTTTTACCAAAGTGGTAGATGTCAACTGTTTTGTTTTATCATGTTAAGTTTACATAATACAATATATCGACTATTTTAAAGGGAGATATAACTCCCGCAGTCTTAAGGGCTAAATTCATATTTTAATAGTAAAATTGTGCACATGTATTGTTTGCGTTCATGGTTCTCTTTATGTGATCAGCAAACATCTCTAAATACCCCAAAGAGCGGGAACGAGACGTATGATAATACCAACGACTGCAAATGGGAGAAAGAAGTTGACGTCACGCCGCAGTTCTCTTACAGTTTCACGGTAAGCAAACTCTGTGTGCGGTTATAGCAAGCTATTCACTATTTTGACAACAGGGTCATTTATATTCGAGGGCATGTGTGGCAAAGGCGACGAAATTGATTGTGCAGAGTTGCGTCCCTTAAACGTGGTCGTGAGTTTCACCAAAGTGTTAAACGCCCGAGACTTGCATCACTTAAGGTTTTCTCCCACATAAAGCTGTCACGCCGTGATTTAACTGGAACACTGTTCAAAATGGCGTTAAACTGTTATACCCAAAAGCCTTGTGTAATTCTTCGTATTCTAAAGTTGACTTCTGTGGGTTTAGGTTGCGTCCCCTGCAAAGACCAATATTTGTAAAAGGACATTAGCATATTCATGCCATCTAAAAAGGGGATACTACGCTACAATGGAAGCATTAGTGAATATTGGATAAAACAGTTATCTAAAATCAGTAAGAGCTCTGTTTGAACGACTGTTCTGTGTGAAATGGACCGAATTGAGGATTTTTTTATTTATTATTTAGGGGCAGGCCAGATCCCCACATAGGTTGCTTCATGTAGAATCCCGGATAAATATAAGTCTCCAGTACACCCTCTTTGTTCTTAGAACCGACTAATGCGGATTCCGTGATTGCAATGAGTGGCACCATACCCGGATGTCGTCGTCGTTGCTCAGACTTTCCATTGTCCGGCGTAAAATAACATTCAATCCCTCATCAACAGGAACTGGTCGCTTTGTAACCCATATGCACTTTATCCTATCAATACTTATTAAACATAAAACATACCTAAAATCCACACTAATGTGGTTTGTATGACTGCCCTTCCTTACACGGCATGTGTATGTTTAAATACAGGCTGAAGCGTTTGTTTTCAGGTTTTCCTTCAAAACTCTTTTCCTGGTGCACAGTCTACTATAAATTACTATATCCCCGCGGGACGTGAGTATGTTTTCAAATAAGGAATCAGTAAGCCGGGAGAGTGCTGGCTTGTAAACAAGAAATGCTCTCTCTTAAGTTTGCTGACACGTGTTGCGACCTTGTTTGTGAATTCTTCCACAAAGACAAGTATTTGCTCTAGTAATATTACGGGATGATTGTAGAGGTTATGTGTTGGTTGAATTAACGGGGTTGTGTGTTGTAGTTTAGTTTTCTGATTGTTTCTAAAGGCATGGTAAGCATGTCATGCTGTCAAAATTATATATTGCGAATCCACATGTGTACAAAAACAGAGCAACATTATTTCGCTGGATCACATGTACTGGGGATTTCATAATGTTGGCAGCATGTGTTGAGAGCAAAACACAAACTTTCTCAGTTTGTTACATCTAACTAATAGTGTCTTCATCTTATTTTTGTCGAGTTTATTCCATATTTAATCAAATTTATGGAAAGTTGGCCACGTAGGTCTTAATGGGTGCCTTTTGAGAAACAAAGACATTATCTTTGACATTGGGGCAGTAGTGCGAAGAATGTGTTGCCTTTGTCTGCCCCAAGTGAGTAACATGACGATGATATCAAGAAATTGTTATGATTCTTCTTCTAAAAACACACGGAATCTCGGAATGTGAAAGATGAATACAATGAGTAGCAACACAGAGGGATTTAGATTTGATTTCTGCTTAAATACTCACTAAAATCAGTCATCTGTAACTGTCGTTTGAAACAAAATTGAAGTTGTTTCCAGAATAGTGCCTTGTCATAGTGTTCTACCAACTTCTAAATGTAACAGTTAGTATTAGTGCCTTGGTGTTACTGTTTCACTAACTCTTTCACGCATGAACCCCCTGTCAGTAATACCCTGGATGCCTGCAAATGTAGACAATCTAGACAATATATTTGTCATGGAACATTACTGGTAAATACTGTTTGTAACACTGAAGTATTTTTTATATATTACACACAACAACTTAGTCCTGCACCATGACCGTGGTATATATTTATTTTATAAAAAAATAATAATCTAGAAATGCATACAAAAGCAAGTCTAGCCAGCTCAAGCTAGCTCTAATCAGCATAGGGAATTTTTTTTATTTTTAGAGTCAAGAAGGATATTGTGTAATATAAGATTTCAGAGACTAAATGTTAGTCTAACAACAACTGTTTGCGAGTTAAAAGGATTTCTTGTTTATTTTGGTCTTCTTCCATATAGCCTGTATGTGAAGTGTCCGAGTGAGTGAGTGAGTGAGTGAGTTGGGTTTAACGCCGCTTTTAACAGTATTCCAGTTATATCACGGCGTGTCAGCTTAATGTGGGAGGAAAGCCCGTAGTGATGCAGGTCTAAGACGTTTTCCACTTGGGTGAAACCCACGAGCACGGGTATGGTGCTGACAAACCTAGAAACATAATTGGGGCGAATCGGGATTCGAACCCACAATCATAGGTTTCTGGCGTGCCTAAGGGACGCAACTCTGCACAGCGAATCGCGGCGTCTTAGACGACTGGGCCACCCGTGCCCCTGTGAAGTGTCCGAAAACAAAGTAAGAGAAGTAAATGCTTTTTTAACCTTAACAATCATTGTATAAGTAGAGAACTAATGTTGTTATATTTCACAAAGTGATATTTATGGTACGTCCATCGTACACATAAATCCTATGTGAACGCATGGGAGCTTGGGGTGTCGAAGCACGACGATCACCCTGTTCCCTCTGGTTATGCTATTACATTAGTCAAATTATGAACTGAATGTGTGTGTTGTACAGCTCCAGACATCAGTGATGATTCAGTGAATGCACCAACAGCATCAGATTCACCGACCAGCGTCATGCTGAACATTTGTGGTAAATGTCTTCGTGATGACAAGAACGGAGAGGTCACCGAAACTGGACTTCTGGTGTGTGTGAATCCACCGTGTGACGCTGCAAGTGAGGACATTATTCAGATCATATGCACCGATTCTATGAAATTATTGTATATATTTAAAATGTTTTTGCTCATCTTGACATTCCATGTTATGAATCTTCAAGACACATTTGCTACAATGTACAAAAAACCCGGCTTGTTTAATGTTGATGAGTTCAAAGACAAGAATAGCTTATTATTACTTTTGATTATCTTATACCAAGACGATACAACACGGCGACAACATGGTTAAATCAGCTTTTAGGATAGCTTTATATCATACTACAGATAATAACAATAACGAGATTAATGGTTTCATGATCTTCTGAGGTTCAATCGTTCAACAATGGTCAAATAGCCAAATCCTTTTAACTGATTTACCCAACTGGACTGGAAGTAGAAGAGACGAATGAAAGTCTCATCTCTTTCATTCTTAGAATGTTCTGTATGTAAACTCTTCTGGTGACACATCAACATAGGTAGTAAAATACATGTATGTTGTTAATTTCGCACAATGATTGTCTAATTTGTATACCTTGTGAGCAGTATCGATCAATGTTAATCGTCGTGCCATGGATACTGAATATCAGTGTTTACGGTGATATATTTATTGAAAGAGTGTAATCCCATCAATGGTTTTATCAACAGTTCTACGAATATGACACGACATCACATTATGGTTGCAGGGAAACGAAGGTCATCATATGATGATTATACAAACTGGCACATATCAAAGAATGGAGGGTTCAAAGAACAGTACCGTACAACAAGTGACGACTGGGATCATCGACAGACTGGTAATAAAACGTTCCCGTGTATCAACCCTTCACACATTTACTTTCAAAAGATCGAGGTGACTGCAATTATATCATAAAATAAAACCGCCAACACGCTTTCCATATGGGACCTTTGAAGCAATTTCGGTAAATATTTGCATCCTCAAATACAAACACATACAGTATTACTATGATAGAATGCAAGTGCTCGATGGCAAGAACATGTGAATTTTCATATTTAAATCAGTTGTCATATCTTATGAAGTTTTTAAACAATACTATTTTAGTATTTTGTATTTTTGGGTGGTTGACAAAAATATCTAATCTCGATACAAATGTAATGCTGTGTGGACAAGTTGATCCCCAAAACATGTTTCTCACTTCCCTTTAATCGCTGGATTGTCTGGTCCAGACTCGATTATTTACACTGTTGGGGATGTCAAGTTACTGGTTAAATTGTCATAGTGTTTTGTTTTTTGTTTTTTATATATATATTCCAAGCCTCAATTGAACAACTGACTTTTTACGAGTAGAGATTTCTTACAGGTATGGAAATGGGTTTGTCGAATTTATTTCTTAACATGCATTACTCATCAAAATTGACAGACAAGGACAGCTTTGAATATGTTGTTGGTGAAGGAAAATGCCAACCCGATACATCCACACATTTTTGCAATGGCCTACTACCAGAAGGCAGCACTTTACAGTAAGTTTTACTCCTTACCTAATTTTTTTCTTTTATATGATACAAATGACTGATAATACAATATAACCTCGTTGTGTCGAACTTTGATACGTCACATTCCCGATTGTATCGGACTTATTTTGGAGTCATGATGGGAGCATCAACTTTTCCGGATGTCTAATACCCCGGATAACCAGGTCCCAACGTGTTCGACTCCAGAAGGTTCGACTGTGTTTAAAATCATGACAAAATTATACACTTTTAATCAATCCATATTCAGTGTCATTTGATTTTTTATAGTCAGCTTTATAAAAGTTTGTAATGGGATTTAAACATAGTTTTGTCGTGTTTTACAACACAGATGTTGATATTGATGGTTTCCTAAAATAAATTATTTCGTACATGGTATGAACCTTACAATAAATTGTTGGACTGTTGCAGAGTGACGCCTTTCGCGTGTACTGTAGCAGGGTGCGCTGAAGGATCAACAGTAGAAGTCAAAACAAAACGTACATTTCCTCCACTATTTTATGTTCAAAACAGAAACATAGAACCTTAGAAGACCCTTGTCTGAATGTCAAGTTGTATGTTTAGTGTGCACGTCATGTATTAACCTAAAACGTGGAGTCAACTCAGACCCTTTAAAGTACTTTCCGCACTCATTTGAAGGTGTCATTGGATGTAGTTCTTGGGCAATGGCCATGCATTAGTGCCATCAAAGTAAACAAAGATAATTGTCTTGAAACGATATAATCTGATATACGCAAGGCTATATTGAGTTTCTGATCACATATGGTGCTTGTAGTTATTAATCACCTCTTTTTATTTCCTTGATGATAATAGCTCTAGATCCTATTCCGACCAACGTTGGACTGATTGTTGGTGGAGCTGCCGCAGCCCTCGTGTGTGTCACTGTCATCGTTCTGCTTATATGGTTCATCAGGCGTCGAAGGCAAAGTCTTCGATCAAGGTTAATCATACTTGTACATATGAATTTAATCCTGAAAGAATATGGTGTGTGTTTGATGTTCTGTTCGTCTATTTAGGTACGACAAATGTTTCGAGTGTATCAAATGTGAATGGTCAATATGTTATCAGCATTAATTTGTTTAGAAATTGCGACTTTGTATTGTTTCCAGTTACAGCTTGTAATAGTTTAATTAAGAAATATAGTATGCCAAGACATCATCCGTGGTCATCACATACCTCGGAAGCCGTATTGTTGGGATAACTCTGCCGCTGTACTTACTCTTAAAGAAGGAGTGTGATCATGCGATAACGAACGGCAGTGTCTTGGCGGCACCTTTGATCTCGCCTCCAATACTGATAGAATGAAAGACAAGGCTGCTCTCAAACCACATTTCTTTTATGTTGCGCTTTCTCGTGGCTTTCAGTAAGGCAGACAAGAGTGAAAGACACATAACAACGGAAGAGAATGACATTGGGGATCTTATTGCAAAGAAAAGGTAAAATTAGTTTTCCTTGGTAGAATACATTCCAGCATACACGTATTACTAATTCGATTTAGATTTAATTACCACCAGGTAGGTCAAAAGAGTTTTGATTAATTTACTTTTCAAAATGACTAAACCATTAGTATTGGTAATATTACACTGGTGATTGTTCCATAATGTAAGGATAACTACATTAACAACACTCCTAGTCGAAACCTCACTGCTCTGGGGTGTTTATGAAAGCACTGAGTATCGCAGGACAAGCAAGGACGATGTGGGGAGCTTTACACTGCTATCAACATGACGACAACTTTATTTGTTTATTTATTGTGTATTTTTTTCATATTCAGGCCTATCAAGATTTCAGAGTTTGACGATGTGGGGAGCTTTACACTGCTATCAACATGACGACAACTTTATTTGTTTATTTATTGTGTATTTTTTTCATATTCAGGCCTATCAAGATTTCAGAGTTTGATAGTCGTGTAGATTGCATGCATAAAGACTCCAATTTGCTGTTCTCGGAAGAATTTGAGGCAAGTGTCTTCCGGCATACATCATAAGATTGAATAGTGACTTTGTACATAATAACACTGATTAGATGAAGTAATAGTTTGATTGATATCCCTCGATTTCACGTGAATGGAATATGTGCCCATCTATAGTTATTCACCGTTTGTATTATATGTTCAAAATGTGTTTTTTTTTCTTATTTTAGGATATTGGTACTTTAAGTCCAAAACATACTTGCGCAGCTTCAGGAACTGATGGCAACAGACTCAGAAACAGATATGTCAACATTCTTCCATGTACGTCTTCATATATTTTAATGTGCACATATTCAGTACACTACGAACCAAAATGCCTTGGTGTATGCGACTATTAATTAACTGTTACACTACGCAATATACGTGTTCACCTGTGATAACTCTTTATCATAATATTCTAATAGTTTTCGTCAAAAGTGATAGCATTTATATGTCATATTTGCTCCGATCATACATTATATCCACATTTATCTCCCATCCAGTTGATCACACTCGGGTGAAGCTGCGGTCCTTAGCAGATGACGATGAAGACGATACGGATTACATCAACGCTAATTATATTCCGGTAATTCGACGCCTCGTTCCGATATGGTCTGAATCTAAGTGATTTGTTTTGGTAGATATTTCTTATGATTGATATGGAAATGATTTTAAAAAGTGTATCAGGAGGTCAGATTGTTTTGATCAATCCTCAACTACTAGTTTGCCTGGCCGAGCATATTTTCAGGCTGAACTGTATAAGTGAAATGTTGCTGACAGTGACATGCAACAACAAACAAACAGTATGCTAATGTGACTCACACAATGACACGAATTCGCAATCAATTAGATACCACAACATTCATGAAGATGCTGACATTATATGCTTTCAGTTATAGCCCTTCACGTATCTTTGATTGTCAACAGGGTTACAACTCTCCACGCGAGTTCATCGCCACCCAGGGCCCTATGACCGGGACAGTGGCGGACTTCTGGAGGATGATATGGGAGCAGGACGTCAACATCATCATCATGTTGTCAGACCTGCTGGAGAAGGGCAAGGTGGTTATCAATAACCTTTACCAGATCATCAGGAATAATTGATAGCCTTCTAAACTGCCGGATAAAAGAAAATATACACCCTTGTTTGATGGTGGTTAAAATAGGACAAACAAGAAATGATGTACTTCCCACGGGTATCATAGCTGTGGTTTGGGCCTTAAGTTTGCATGGTTGGTTTCGGCGACTGTTTACAGTCTAGTAACGTTTTGATATGGTTTGTAATTTTTGGTAAAATCCAATTATTAAGTGTATGCTTTCTTTAGCCCGACAATTTATGTAATCTTGAAATGTCTTACATTGTCAGGTCCCGGGACCGATTGTGGTATATTGATAATATATTAATTAAATATAATATGATAACAGGAGACATTTTGTTATGATTGTGTTAAGGGTTTTGTCACATTTAAGTCATGTATTCTTGAAATCAATTAGATTGCAACACCCTACAAAAGATTGCGATAGGTTGTTGTTTGTTCAGTTATTATGATTTTCGTTGATGCGAGAGGAGCATTGTCATGTCCGTCGAACATATACACAGCGTCAGCAACTGCTTCAGGTCCACTCGGTTGGCGTTCTTTGCTATAATTGAGTCCTATACAATACGCTGAAGGAACCTGTCTTTTCATTTTACTATATTTATTGTATCCGCGTGGAACTTTTATTATGAAACAATATTTTTAATTATTTATTTAATACTTAAATGTAACTAACTTACACTTAGAGGTTACGTGCAGTGGAACTTTTCATGCAAACCCATTGGGTTTCATGTTAATCACAGAGTTGCTTAATCTAAGAAACCCTACATAGATAATCTTCGGCAGTATTCTAGCATTCAACACTAGTGAAATCTGTTCTTCTTGCAGCCCAAGGTCGACAGGTATTGGCCATTAATCATTAACGAACCAGTGCAACATGGAGAGATCATCGTGGAACTGATAAACAACTCACCACTCAACAAATACGACATCAAAATATTCCAGATAACGAAGGTATGTTTATGTATGTTCAGTATCAAAACCATTCGATGTCCAAACATATCTCACTGTGACATTACACAAAAGTAATGAATGTGTTGAATTTTATTCAAAGGAATCTGTTTATATATGTTTTTAATCTGTAATAAAACATTACGATACTGAAACCAATCGATTTAGCATGGCCAGGTAGTGTCAGTACTCAAGTTAGAACTCAAATGTGGGTCTTTCTACTTGGCTTCATTATCCAGGATGATCGAATCCAGTCCAACCACTAAGAATGTGATTTACTGTTATCCAGGGGGATGAAAGCCGGAAGGTCCGCCATTACTTCCTCCCAGGCTGGCAGGACTTCGGTGCTAATCTTACCTCCGATAACGTCATCAGCTTTGTCAGAGATGTTCGGATGACGGTTAAGCCCACGGACAAAGGTCCAATCTGTGTTCACTGCAGGTAACGTTCTCTTATCATGCTGTTAAACGTGTAATATATTGGTCTATGAACATATGTATGGTCTGATTAAGTACTTTATTATCCAAAACTGGCTTCCAGAGGGGATATCACTTGGGCAAGATCAAGCGATACCGCATTACCATACTATTTGGATCATTGTGACGCCTGTGGTTAGCATGATGTCACAATCAAATGACATCATTAATCCCTCCGCCACTGAAGCTGGTTACCTGTACTTTATACTCTCAAGAAAGCGCTTAACGCTGTTTACAAAATGAAAAAGTTGAAAGAATGAGAATGGATCATCAAGATTCTCAACATCGTGTCTTTCTATACCAAATATGTGAACACTCATCTAGTTTAAAACTCTCAAGTGACATTCGCTATGTGTAGTTCCACTACATTTCCAAATGTTAATGATTACATTATATTAAGATACACCTGTAAACATGTCCTGAGCAGCGCTGGCGTGGGGCGGACTGGGACGTACATCTCTCTGGACGTCTTCAAGCAGGCTATAGACGAGGAGAACTTTGACAAAGAGCTTGACGTGTTTGACTTCGTGATGAAGATGCGAGAAAACAGATCCTACATGGTCCAGACAGAGGTAATGAGACATTGCCGTTAATTCGCACCATGTGCAGGAAAATGACTTAATATTGCATTTGATTTTAAAGTATATGTAAGCGTAACAGCGCATGTGCTACTTAATACAATAAATGCTGAATTGACACATTGGTTTTTCGCAAAATTATTATATTCTTTCAAGAGTTGCTGTCGCAATACATACATACAAACCGCCGTATTATGGCAGTCAATAGAACCAGAAGTGCATGTTTGAAGCAAAGAATAAAAGCAACAAGACCATTTCTATAGTCACAAGAAATCTCTGCTCAAAGTCGAGTGTACGATTCCGAAAGTATCATGAGCAAGTGTTAATGATTCACTATCAAATAGTGATGTTCGCGAAAAGGTAAGCGTATCCTGGACCTCCGGTGCAGCCGTCACAAACACATGTAAAAGCAAGTCAATTGTTCACCTGAAAAGAAACACGGGAACATAATTATGGTACAAGTCAAAATAGGGAATTGCTCAGGATTGCATCACTTTTGTCACAGCTGCGTCACATTTGGAAATGACCTCCACATGTCTACCAAAAAGCCTTTGGAAAATTTTCCTCAGGCCTTGAATGTTATAACCTTGATAAAGCACTAGAAATATGTGATAAGGCGTTCCACTGATTTTGTGAATTCATACTTGTGTCAATAGTATATCCATGACCTACTGGCGATTTCGTCATTATCATTTCAGAAACAGTACATATTCATCCACGACACCATCAATGAAATGATCATCGGGAAGAAGAAGGAGATAGCGGAGAGAGAAAACATCTACCAGTACAGCGATAACTATCCAGAGGAGAATATCTATGCCAACCAAGGATATGGTGAGTGTACATGGTTGCCAAGCTTGGAATTGTTAAAAACGTGCTATCATTCACTGTTAATTTTTACAAATAATATGCAAAAACTCATATTTACATGTAAGAGTGTGTCGATCGCCACCAACCCCTTTTAATGGAAATATAGGATTTAGTCATGTCTAAGCTATAATGAAAAAAAGTATTAAACAATGTCATTTAGGAGATCAGTGTTTACGATATTATGAATAGTTACATAACTACATATAGACCGAGGGATTGTTTGCATGACTGTTACAGAACCTGACCCGGAGGACCTGTACATGAACGTCGAACCTGGTCAACCAATCACCGTGCTGTAGGAGACGACACAAGCCGGTAAACACGTGGAGAGAGGTCCACACCCATGTTTGTACAGGAAAGGTCGTCCAAGGTTGCTACTATTCCAGTGTTCTACAGTTCACTGATGGATGTAATACATGACATCTGAGTACCACATGCACATTCTGTTTAGTGCTACAACAGCACGATGATAGTCACAACCTTGATATTAGACAACGTTATGTCTTTGTTTCTTCCAACAATTATTGTAACACTATATAAGTGATAAAATGTTCACGCAGTCTTTCAAGACTATTTTACTAGGCTTGTCTTCAAGTGTTTATAATGTGATAAATCATTACATCTGTTTTGTAATACCACAACCAATGAACAACGAGACGAACATTTTATTAACTGTCCTGGTATATATAGCTTTTAAGATGACGGGATTTGCATTACGTATTCAGAATGAGTCAATTCCTTAATTGGGAAATTTTCAAGTTTTTTTTAATAAGTAAACAATAGAGTACAAGGTGTGATAAGGTGACATTGTGGCTCATGTGACATGATTAATTTAAGATATGTGAATACTTTTGACAAATCATTGTGAAACTTTTGAGATACATTCATATGAATTACACGACAAATGAATGTTTATCAACGCCACGTGCATGGAAAAGATTAAGATCATCAGACAGGCTGATTTGTGAGATATTTCAAATGTGCCTCTGCTATTTTTGGACATACGCAAGTCTTAAGGGATAGAGATAAAAACAATACAAAACATTTATCAAACTTTATTTTTGGCCAATGCCCCTTCAGTAAATTTGACCTTGATCACTCATTTTAGCCATAATCAGGTATTTTAAGTCCACAATTTGCAAGTATAGGAATATTTCTCGCGTTCTAATTTGACAGTGTGGCAAAAAGTGCCCTTAATGTAGCTTGTCCGTCATGTCAGTGTATGGGAGTCGGCCAGGCTTTACACTCACTACATCACTCATGCACATACACACGTATTACCGCGACGCTCACTCTAAATGGATTATATATTTCTCGTTGATTGATCTGAAAGACATGTGTACTGTATTGGTATCTACAGATGTCAGATGGTGTCAAGTCCTCATACCAGCACATGCACGAATGTTATTTTGTTATTTGTTGAAGTATTTCCACTGACATTCAATGCGTAGATGTACAATATTGTTTAAGACATGTATCAATATTTTCATCTTATTTTGAGCGAAATACTTAAAGGAAAGGACTAATATATTTTCAAAACCGCACCAAAAACTAATGATTGATTGATTAAGCCGTTCACTGAAGCGGTTGTGTTGTTGATGGGGTTTTTCAATTTGTTTGTTTGGATTCCCTATATCCTCCTTGGGTGCCACAATATAGTGCTAACTTAACATTAATGTTCAAAGATCAAATGATGAACTTGTTTCAGATTAGATGTTATTTGTTGAGATATGTATCAATGTGATAGTTTTAAAAGTGCCATAATATTGTTGTATCAAATATACTTGTAATAGAACTTTTGTTATTGTGAATAAAAATATATTTTGATAGAAATTACTTTCCTTGTTATATTTTTAGCTCTTGTCAAGATGTCATGTTTATAAGAATACACGTCCTAAGCTGCCAGGAACAGCTGTTCTTGAATGCGAAGATTTGTCCCGATCATGTTCCTTGGTCTGGTTGCACCATATGGTACTTGACGTTTTGAGCAAAGTGGTTAATGTCAACGACCTGTTTCGTGTTGGCATGTACTCCCACGATAAGCTGACATGCCGCCACAAACCTTATTAACCGTTGAAAGCAGAGTTAAAGCCCACAATCAGTTAAATGACGAATCTATCCTAACATAGTTGGTACTAACACCAGCTGCCTAATAAAATATCATAACTCCAGTTCAGTAACAATATCTCCAACAACACTATGTAACAATATACCCCCAAACCAGTAGGTCACAGTATATCCCAACACCAGTGAGCCATAGCATATATTCCGATATCAGAAAGTCACAGTATATCCAAGCACTCGTACATCTGAACTTCAGTGCGTCAAACACCAATGGGTCACGGTATATCCCAACACCTGTAAGCCACAGTTTATCCCGATATCACTGCTGTTGAAGCATATACTGATACCAATGAGTCACGAGATATCCCAACACCAGTGCTGTTACAGTGTACCCCGATATCAAGGAGACACAGTATATCCAAGGAAAGCGTTATCTTCTACATGATTACCTCGCAAATCTTGGCCCGAGTTACACTATTAAGAGTTTCTATGGTGAACTAGAGAGTCCTAGCCGGCAAATCATTGTTCCCTATGGTTGCCGTGTGAATTCTGGCCATCACCAACCTTTACCTCCATTGTAGGAACCAGGAAAAGTCTTACAAAATAAACATTTGTCATCTTCATTGATTTCAAACCTATGACTGTATAGACAGACATATTTTATGGAAAAATGACGACAAATATTCATGGAATATTTATATAAGGATGTTAAGTGTTGTGTTAGAAAAATCGGTCAGTGTGCGCCATCATGATGTTTTGTATCAAACAAGGATGCTTATTACTCCACTTTTATTTAGTCTTTACATTAATGATCGTATATGACTGTCAATCATATGTCTCTTTGAGTGGAAATCGACGAGGAAACTAGCATTTTCGTTTATGCAGACATCGATTTTATCGGGGAAATAGAAATAATGCAACAAAATCCAGATTATTCAACTTCAGAAATCAGTTGGCATTCAAAATCACAACCACATTTTATTCATGGAACAATGCCGAATGAAGTTATTATCCATTTCATCTATTTTGGGGGCACGGATGACCCAGTCTTCTCAAACAGATCACGAGGAAAGTTTTTTTATGCAAGCACCCAGACATGCGTTAAATAAGTAGGGAAACTGAAATCTTAGAATTCACTCCAAGTATTCCGGTTTAGTACTGTACAACTTCATTTCAAATGATATCGATTATCACTACCATCATATTTGCGAAGAAGTGAGAGACAAAGGATTTGAGTAGTACAAAGACTGGACTTCACAGTTTAAGGGGTTACAGAGGAAATATACTAAGTCTCCTCACCAAGAGCGAGTACCGTGTGGAATATTTCAAGCACATTGCCATGTGTAAAATCGAATGGTCAATCTTTAGCAGTGTTTACCATCTGGGTGGCTCTTATTCGTTTTGAATCTGGACGGTATTCAAATGTAGTTATCTGCCCGTGGAAGGCCTAGACATGCCTCACAAGTGATCTCGATTCCCCCGAGAGACAATTCAAGAAAAATCTCCGTTCACCGTCGCCATCATCTGATTATATTTACCGATATGTACTGACAAAACTGTTTGAAACGCTTAAACCTGATATTGTGAACATTAGACTAATTTGAGTGGTTTGCAAATGTGGTTGATGTCAGGAAAATGTCGCAGGCAACGAAGCAGGATCATATGTTAAAGCTATTGTGTCGCAGCCCAGCTCACCGTCAGCGGCGAAAAGAACCACGAATGTGTGATTACATGAGACATTTCAGAACGTGTTCCTTATCCACGACGCGTGGGTTAAAGTGACTGCTGATAGCAAGTGTAAAGAACAATCTACGGGTAATGCTGAGATTTTGGCAGCGATAGACAATATGAAACATTTTTCAGGAAACAACTTGGTGAAAATGAATCGAGTGTGACCATGACTCTGGCGGCAGTGCTCAAACAAGAGACAATTAAATAAAGAAGGCGCTAATAATTGTACTTACAGATAGACTTTAACAACTTGAGAATTCACAGAAAACTACTAATGAAGAAACAAGTAGGAAATGTGATTCGGTGGAGAGGTCAGTCTATGTGTTGAAGGGTTCACATAGTACAGTCATAATCATCGCCAGGTTGATTCTAAGGCTAAACGAGGGTCGGATAGCGTAGGTGCGTTTTTAAAAAAGTAACCACTATTAACCTACTTACATTCAGATAATGGTGATATTAATGGTTTGAAATTGCCTGTGAGGCTGATCCGGAGTATCCTTATTGTATTTGGGTATGTTATTTATCCCCGTCTTGTTCAACCAGAGTAAATGATGGTGAAAGGTTTTTCGAGACACTGTTAGAGCAAGTGTATATTTATCAAAATGAAGGGTTAATTTGTATATGTGGGGATTTTGATACTCGCATTGGAACAAAAACTGATTACATCGAGGAAATTGACATTGTTGGTTAACCAGAGAGGGAATTGACTTAAAGATAATTCGCATGGCAGTCATATTCTTGATGATCTTATTGAGAGCAAAGTGGGTGTGCTGAACGGACTTGTTGGCAAGCAGGACTATACCTACCTCAAGAAGGGCTGTTCAGTCGTTGATTATATTCCTGTTGCACATGAAGACTTATCTCGCTTTTCGAACGTTAACGTACTAAAGATGTCAAAATGTTTCAACGGTACAAGCGTTCCAGTTGTTGTCCCTGATCATTCAGGCCTGATGTGTGACATTCAGGTGTCTTGTACCTACCATGAATGTAATACGCTTGCTGAGGATAATACTTAACCAGTCCATAAGCGTTACTGGCTGAATAAGTTTCCAAAAGAGTATCAAATATTTTACAATGGTAAACAAAACTATGAGAAACATTGCATTCCACCTCTCTGTTCACACGATACTGCTGTAAATGGTGCATTTTTGTCATGTATATATGTATATGGAATAAGATGAGGTCTGTAGTTTGCCAGACAAACCTAGAATTGCCAGTGCTAAGTCATTGTATAAGCCTTACAGGAGTGATGCACTGCAGTCCCTTTGGGATGTGGTTACTGAGTGTTATTCTCAGGAACTATGAGTCTAAATAGAACTTTATTGTGTGATAGAATTGAGTGATGATCGTGTCACTGAAGAACGTTTCCTGTTATACTTGTCACGTGTTATAGTTAGTTTCTCTATGGGGTCAGTTTTCGGGGGATGGTTGGGGTTAATTGGCAATTGCCCTTACACAAAAATAGCATGAGCTTATGGCATGACACATCTGGACGGACAATGAAGAGCGGTTGGTAGTAAATAGCACTGTGAAGAAACAAGGTGTTCGCGAAAAGGTGACCAACGTCCCTCGTCGTCTTAGTACGTTTATCCGAATTAAACCAAACCCCGCAGCTTGACTTGGTTGGGACACATTCCAATAGGAAGTCCCCCTTTTCTTGTTCCCAACACATTTGACACCAAATTCAGATGGATAAGATATCAAATAGTGAGGGGGCGAGTGAGTTGGGTTGATCGCCGATTTGAACAGCATTCCAGTTATATCACGGGATGTTAGCTTAATGTGTGAGGAAAGCCCAAAGTGATGCAGGTCTCAGACGTTTACCACTTCAGTGAAACCCACGAGTACGGGTAAGGTGCTGTCAAACCTAATATAATCGAAAGATTTGACACTACGATCATAGGTTTCTGCACAGCCAACTGCGGCGCCATAGATAACTGGGCCAGCCGTGCCCCCTGGCAAAGAAGCGATTCGAACGCAAGCAACTACATGTATACACACATATGATATAGCATTTGAAGTTAAGTATATATTTGAAAGTGAATACTGCCACGGAGCTGTGCTCTTGAGACCAGGGTATCATTAAATGAGAATAACGTAATAACAGAAAACTTGGTAAAAGCTCACAATGTTATTATTATGAGCTACATGTAACTAAAGAGAGGCAGTCTTAAAGATCAAGATCCCAACTAACACTGACAATGATCACTGAATAATAAACCAAAGTTACTAAAGTTGCGAAAACACACTCAATACATGAATACGCTTGTATACATATATGAGATAACATATATCGAATCAATACATAATAAAAATATAAGATTAAACTGCTAGAGAATACCTTTTACGGGCAACAAATTCACTAACATTACCCGAAGGAACATAAAGGCACTGAGCTGTGCCGGACTGTGCCTACCTGTGCCGATCAGCGACAGCGATGAGTGGTGGAGGCGCTACGGTCATTAGATCGTGACGAGCTTGGTTTTACTTCTCGGTGACAATACTTAAAATGCATGAACGTTAGTAATGGGAGAATGGAACTGTGTGATGTTTTTGAAAAATATATAAATACATTAGAATATATGACAAGCTTAATACCCTCGCTTGCTTGCTTGTCAAATACCATCTGCAGCCTCATTTCGTGAATGAAAGTGTGTTGACGCTGACATTTTCGTTTTTGCTTGTACCACTCATATAAAAACTTCTGGTATAGTCGATGAATGTATGATGTCAACAAAAGCATTTGTCCTGTACCAATTCTATAGCTCTGAGAATTATTTAATATTATATCATCTCATTCGGATGACTGTCATTGCTTGATGTGATCACCCATTACGGCTATGGGCCGTGAACGTCACTTTTGTGTGAGTGAGTGAGTATGGCTTGACGCCGCTTTTAGCAATATTCCAGCATATTCACGGCGGCCCCACTTTTGAATATCAGACCACGGAAAGTCGAACTCTGCTGTTTGAACCGCGAGTGCCAAATGGATGGATTAGCCGTGAATGCGGTGAACCGTGAATGCATACCGTTTTATGATATAAACGAGGCATACAGAAAATACATTAAATTTAGTAGAAATACGCTTCATGATATAAACAAGTTATTAAGGAGTACAAATACATGAAATGCTTGAAATAAATCAAACGAGATTATCAACCTACAGCTAATTGGCAGTGAGTCGGATGTGTTTACAGATAAAGCGCTTACGAAAATATAAAAGAAATAGAGATGAAATAATTGACTGTATTTACAGTTGCAGGTGTGTTTAACGTTTAAATGCATGAAGATCAAATATACGATGTGACACTGAGTAATTTGCATGCTATATATGTCTTATCTTCAAAATAATAATAAAAGCTGTTGGAATTATATTAAAACGCAGGGGTAAATACGCTTTCTCCATAAAAGGCAAACCAATCAAAATTGAAAAATTCGTAAAATTGATAGGCGTGACACAAGATTAACACCTCACTTGAGCAAATACTAGTGTGTGGAATATGTGTGAAAATATGTTGAACATAGATGTCACATAAGACCTGAACGTATTGCGGACCATTTCAGGCTCATCTTGGGGTACTCAGCTGGACCTCTACAAATCATGAATCAGATCAAAAATAGACTATTGTAGTGAGGCCTTTTATTCAGCATCAGACTCATACTAAGATAACCGGAAGCAAAAACAGTCATGTTATTAGGTTCGCTAAGTGTACTACAAGCGATGAGCCGCAGAAGCTCAAACTCTAGACCAAACAGTCAATAATATTGGACAAACAACAATCTTGAAGGGTGGCACCACAAGAGAAACCAGCTAGCAAGGAAGAGCCAAACTAACATCTACGAGGTGGTACATCTATTCCAGAGATAGCAGTCCAAGACGCTCCCCGGCCAACACCTCCATCACAAGTAACTATGCACAGATTGCATAAAATGGCAATTACAATACATGTCCTCGTTTCAGTCAGGAAAAGACTCGGTCAGCCCCGTCCCAACCAATTTCCATTTCTATTGTTACCACGCGCAGATTACATAAAATGGTATTTGCGTTTCCTTTCCTCGTTTCAGTCAGGAAAAGATTTAGTCAGACCCGAACCTTCCAATTTCCATTTCTATTGTTACTAATCGCAGATTGCATAAAATGGTATTTGCATTTCCTTTCCTCGTTTCAGTCAGGAAAAGATTTAGTCAGACCCAAACCTAACAATTTCCATTTCTACTGTTCATTTTAACAAATACTTCCGCACTCACATCTGATACCATTATAAGCAGGAGGATATCTATTATCGTCGTGAATGCATGTGCGAGTAGTTTTGTAATGTTTGTTCCAGAGCGGTGAAAGCCCGTTGTACCCATGTGGGGAATGCCAGGACGAGAGAACACTTTCACCCCGAGAGACCACCTCCGTGGTCTAGTGGATAGAGCGTCTGCCCGGAGAGCGGAAGGTCGGAAGTTCGACCAAAAGACGTTAAAAGATTGTACTTGTTGTTACCTTGCCTGACGCATGGCATTAAGGGCTAAAACGTGGACGCGTCATTCCAAAAGACGTCAAAATATGGTACATGAAGTTACCCTGCCTGGCGTTCTGCACTTAGGGCCTAAACATAGACGGATGGCTTTGAGTCAAGGCTCGCTAAATACAATGTTTAATCCTAATACAGGATATTTACCATCCCCAAACACACTCTTATGCATGAATGTACTTTCAACTGTCTCATAAATCGGACTCAAAGCAAACGATGTACACATTGTGTAAGAAAAATTTAAATATCGCATGTCTGATGTTTAATCGTTTCGCACGTTGCTCCATTCTGTAAATAAGCATCATATGTGACACTTGAAATGAAATAGCTCATTACTAAATATATTAAATGATAACTTCTATATAACTCTTTGAATGACTGATAAAAACAAAGGTCGTCTTCCAATCAATTTCCCACATATCTGAAAAATAATGGATACATACTTTAGAATGACACCCGTTACTGAAGAAATACATGTAGTAAATATTGTGCATTTAAAACAATCACCTGATATCTCATGTTACATATCTTGACGTTACCATCGCTCCTTGCATCACTCTGTAAACAAATAGTAACCATATTTGGCATCGGAAATGAAATGCATTTCTTACGTACTTCATTAAGTGATTTCTCTAACACTCCGAGTTACTGATAAAAACAAAGGCCTAATAATATGTTTCAACTGTCTAGAAAATCATGGATACATACTTTATAACTCCGGTTATAAACGCGTTCCTGAAAAAATGGTACATTTTGTGCCTTTGAAACAATCATCTGATATTGAATTTTATATAACCTTTTCAGATCATTTACGTCATCTGTATTATTGATCTCACAAGAGTGGAGCACAGGTGCCCCAGGTGGTGTGAATGTGTGCATGCAGGCAGAACTGTGGAGGGCGTGGCTACACGTAATCGTGCACAAACACTGAACAGCGATTTCAATACGACCTGGAAGTAGATGACGGATATATGACGCCACCCTGACTGTACACTAGTCAAACACAGAGGCATCTGAACTTCACAGAGCTGCAGTACTACAAATACCTGGAATCCGCTTGACAAACACTTCATAACGTTGACACATTCTCAAATGTTGTTAGCTCGATGAAGTACCCAAAACAGCAATGACTGTTTATGGATTTTACCTACTGACGCTCCTGGCTGTACTTGGATATCGGGTATGTCACGTTATTTCTGTAATGTTAACTCACAATTCATCCATTCAATACAATAATACATGCAAGTACGTGTACCCCTGTAGTGTTGGATGCTGCACGTATACCAACCAGTCGTTTGTCTGGTCCTGACTATATTATTTACAGGCCGTTGTGATCTTGCTGAATGTGAATTCACTCAGTCACTAATAGAGAGGACAAATTATGAATTTATTCTTTGAACTGGATACCTCAATAATGTTCACGTAAAGTAGACATTTTTGAGAGTATATATATAGATATATATATATATAGATATAGATATATAGATATATATATAGATAGATAGATAGATAGATAGATAGATAGATAGATAGATAGATAGATAGATAGATAGATAGATATAGATATATATACTCGTCACTATATGGCTGAAATATTGCCGATGTGACGTAAAGCATTACCTCACCCACTATATATATATATATATATATATATATATATATAGACTCTCAGAAATGCATATAAATATGTATGTTTATGTATATATGTATGAATGACATACATACATACATACATACATACATACATACATACATACATACATACATACACAATTTGCTCCCTCAGATGTAGATTGGCAACGTAGAGAAATAGCGCTTATCACGCTTGTGTGTTTGGGGATGGTAAATATCCTGTATTAGAAATCAACATAATATTTAGTGAGCCTTGCGTATTTGCATCTCAATTCGCATATGACCCTAACGGACAACGTATTTATCCGGTGGCTTTATCCTGCCCATTATATGATAACTAAGACTTTAGTATATTTCACAGATATTTAAGTTGACTTTGACAAAACAGTTGTAACACTGCAGTGCGGCAGTACATGCATTAAGAGCAGAAGTTCAGGTGTTAAGTGGAGCAGTTCAAGTGTTTTGTGTGAAATATATAATGCCAGAGAGAGAGAGAGAGAGAGAGAGAGAGAGAATGTTTTGAGACTCGCACATACGCTCGCTACTTGATACCGTCGATTGTTAGACGACGTTAAATTTTCCTCCCTAAGATGTAGCTTGGCAACGCAATAGCCTGACGTTTGTTTGGTTGTTTGTTGTTTAACGCCGCACTCAGCAATACTCCAGCTATATGACGGCGGTCTGTAAATAATCGAGTCTGGACGCACCAGACAATCCAGTGATTGACATCATGAGCATCGATCCACGCAATTGGGATACGATGATATGCATCAACCAAGTAAGCGAACCTTACCACTCGATCCCGTTAGTTGCCTCTTAGGACGAACATAGTCAACTTATACGGCAAGCATGGGTTGCTGAAGACCTATTTTACCCCTGGTAGATGGCCTAACGAGTGAACAGTCAATATATTGAAAGTTTGAACTGACATTTATTAATTTGGTGGTGATGATATCCCACTGCAATAATTATCTTGGTTGTTTCCTTTTTAAACCATGTTTATGAATATGTTTAGATTATAAAGACAATTCTCAATATATTTGAAGTATATATATACATGTACTTGTCATCAGACAAGGAACACCTGTGTATTGCGTGCAGAGGACGATTGGTATGTTAATAAAAAAAAAACATATTATTGCACTTTTAAAATTATTATCGTTTAAAAAATATAGGCATTACTACAGGCATTACTAATAATTTCTCATAATTTCTAAAGCTGAATTTCAAAAACGTTTCCGTCTCAGCATAAGGCTCATCATCAGTGGCCAAAATTTTAGCGATGTACGGGTGCGAATCCCAAAATATGTTCAGAAAAATGTAAATGTTTGTAAAGACCAATTGCACCGACTTTCACGTTTTATATCATTGTGGCTCAGGGATATGACTGGACCGAGCGACATTCTGCAGAATTCAATTGAGAAATGGAATGCCACGGTACATCATTCCAGAAAATAATAACCTTGAGTGACCCTGGTTTAGCGCCACATAGAACACTATTTCTGTTACAAACGGGCGTGTCGGGGGACGGACGAAAGTGAATAGATCTTACACCTTTGGCACTTTTTCCCATGTGTACGGGTCTGCAGCTAACAACACAAGAAACATAATCAGGACGAATCTGCGATTCGAACCAAACAAAATGGATCCTGATTTCAGGTAACCAACGACCCTTTAATTCATGGACTTAGCGCCTTCTTTACGGGCGTATTTATATGTGCATTTGTAATTGTTGTGATTGAGTTTGAGGCCTGGGCGCATTCACTGATGTACATGTATTACGGAACATGGTTTGGTGACGTTTTAAAAATATACAGTACGAAACATAAGATAAATGTCACATTGTCGCCCTTTAATAAAATAGTGAAAATATGCAGTAAGAAATGTACATGTAAGTGCAAACAATACGACAATTTTGATGAAATGTTGCATTGTCATAATTTTCCTCTAAACCCACGTAATTTTCCTTTTAGTATAACTTCTTCTGTTGCGAAGACGTTATCAGTTGCGCCTGTGCGTCCTACGGCACACAAAGAACTCAACATTAAAATTTTACATACTTACCAAAGACAGTCGCATTTATAAGTCCCTTTTCCTGATATTCCCGAATTGACGTGAAGACGAAATTAACAATGCACCTTCTCAGCACACACGAGCTGGTATTGTATCGCTTATGTGACATATTACATGATTGGTTATGTTCCTTTTTTTCAGACATGCAGTGCATCAACAACAAGCCAACCTAGTGAGTATCAAAAGTCAAAACTTGGAACAAATATATTTATGGTTTAAACTCATCACCTGAAACCTTTTTCTGACCGCTCAATATTATAAATCACACGATATATAGAAAATAATCCATCTTTCCTTTCAAAGAATATATTCTGTATTAATCAAAAGATTCATTTATTACGTGGTTTAGAACGAACACTTGCCATTTGTATTCAAGATTTGAATATTGCATGATTGCGTAAATACTGCTATTTTTACTGCTATGTAACGGAATTGGAGTTAATTAAAGTTCATTAGTGAATCTTATATATTCGTGTGTGACATTCACAGTTAGATGTTATGGTCAATCACATTGTATCTCGCCCAAAACATCCATTCATTTACCGTTTTCATAGATTTGGAATACGATATAGAATAGCGCAGTGATGAAAGGCTGCACAACAAGACTAGAACTATATATATTGTTTCATTACACTCATGCTGCCTTTTACATATCACAGCACTCGCGAACAAATTCTTTCTTCAACGTTTGAAATGGTATACAGTCTGATGTTTGCACTGTAGCAATGCATGCCTCGTGGCGGTTCCCTCCTATAACGTAGACCTCCTAAATGCAGACCTCCCAAAAAACAGTTAAAACTAGCTCACTAATTAATTGGGCCATGCTGGTCACACCTAATTAATGAATGGACTGGCCCACGTGCACTCCCCTGCTATGAGGGATTATCAAAATGTTGAGACATTGAGCAGTAGTGGACAACAACAACATCTTAAAAAAACTCCTCCTTTCTTTAATCTGCTCCCGGTACATCACAAATCTTATTCAAACATTACCTTTAAACAAGTTGTGGGATTTGTGTAAGAATATACCGGGCCAAATGTTCTCAATCACTAATACTTCCTTCTCTTGTGTATGGTATAACATATAAATATATTTGAACATGAGCTTCAACCTCATCGGACCAATGTCCCCTAGAAAATGGTACTCCACAGGGCAGTATCCTCAGCCCCACCCTCTTCAATATAATGATAAACGATCTATTCGAGGGCCTATCCCCTAAAGTAAACACATCAAAATTCGCGGATGATGGAGCCATCTGGATCCGCACTAAAAGCATGAACATGGTCCAAAATTTACTCCAAAAATCTCTTAATAAAATACAACAATGGGCTGACAAATGGGGCTTCTCCCTTAACTCAGAAAAAACAACAGGAATAGTATTCAAACATAAAAACATGAAACCCGCCTCCCCAATCCTCCAGCTAAACAATCAAACAATCAAATTTCAAAAACAAACCAAATTCTTAGGACTTATTTTCGATGAACATCTCACCTGGGATGCTCACATCCAAAACCTAACAACTAAATGCAGTAAAGACCTAAACACCCTAAGATGCCTAACTGGCTCTAACTGGGGAGCATCCAAAGATACCCTCCTCTCTCTCTACATATCACTAATTAGATCTAAACTAGACTACGGCTGCGCCATATACAACACCCTAAACAACTCTCTATCTAAAAAACTTGACTCAATACAATATCAGGCTCTCAAACTAATTACACGCACCCAGCATGGCACCTCCTACACCTCACTTCAGGCCTTAACAGGAGAAATGCCACTAAGTCTACGCAGGGAACAGCTAAGCTTAAATTTCTGGGCCGCGTCCCAATCAAACCCTCTCATCCAAAACTTAATAAACCAAAACATCAGCCCCAAAAACCAAGCTCTAGCTCGTAAACACCCCTTACTTACCCCAATATCCCAAAGAATAACAAACTACCTAAATGAACACCAAATTAAAAATCTTAAACAAAACTGCAAACAATCAAATATCTTCACCCCTAAACTTAAAATACCCAAAATAGACACAACACTAGCTAGCCAAATAAATAAACAAACCGACCCAAACATAGCTAAAACTACCACACTAGCATACATACACGAAAATTGGCCAAATTGGTGTCACATTTACACAGACGGATCCTCAGATCCGACCTCCAAACACACAGGTTTCGGAGTCCATACCACACAACCAACTAAAACCACACAATCCTTCCGACTCCCAAACAACCAATCAATATTCACGGCAGAACTAATGGGCATGGCCTCAGCCCTCCATAATCAACAATCCAAAAACCACAAAAAAATCCTAATACTTACCGACTCCCTAAGTGGACTGCAAGCCCTCCAAAACAAAAATACCAAAACCCGACCTAAATTAATAAATCAAATACTTAAAAGCTCCAACGACCTAACTAAGGCAGGAAAACAAATAACCTTCTTGTGGATACCCGCCCACGTAGGAATATACGGTAATGAAAACGCCGATAAAGCAGCTAAACTATCCCTCAAAATCCCAGAAATAAGCTTAAACTTACCCATCTCAAAATCAGAAATTAAAAGTGTAAACAAGCAAAAAATCACCAAAAAATGGCATAACCTATATCTAAACTCAAATAGCCAAATCAAAAAAGTGCTCAGCAAACCACTAACCAAACCAAAAATTCTCCATCCATCCAAAAAAATCGACAGAGTAATCACTAAACCCCAAACAGGACACACCAACCTAAATAACCACCTAAAAAAATTTAAAAAACACACTACAGGTAACTGCCCACACTGCAAACAACCAGAAACCCCAGAACACGCACTCATCCACTGCACACACTACCTAACACATCGAACCGCATTACAAACCACCCTCAATCTAAACGAGGCTCTAACTCTAGAAGCAATACTAAACCCACAAAATAAACTAGAACACTTCAAGGCCTTAGGCGTATTCTTAATCAAAACGGAACTAATAAAACGCATCTAAAAACACAATAACTCACCAAATCAAAATCACATAAACAAACAAACATCCACCATACCCAGCTCCCTTAGTTCTCCTCCCCAATCCCATCGGCACCTATTCCAAATCTCAAAATTCCCAAATTCTATATAAGCAACCCCTAAAACCCCCCTCTTGGGTTGCACAGACCACCTTCGCCCCTTTCGGAAACACATTAAATGGCCTGGCCGGGCCCGTGTGCGAAATACGCATCAGTCGGAAAGCGCACGTTAAATCTCCAAAGTAAGTAAGTAAGTAAGCTTCAACCTCGTCGTCGTCGTCGATCGTGGTCGTGTCGTCGCTCGTCGTCGTTATCTCAGTCTTCCAGTGCGCTCGGATCTTTCACAGATTCACCGTCGGACTACCCCCCGGATTACCTCGTGCATTCATTCTCACGGATTACTGTGTCCTCTCATTCCTTATCCCTAATCGGATTTCACTGGAATTACTGTGCCACACCTGGATTACCTTACTATGGCCCACACGGACAGGTCGATAAACAAATCCCTCCCTAGGGATCTAGTGGGATTGTTTATCCCGTTTCTCGCATATAGGGTCTCTCACTTCTCCCTTAACGCTGACCTCACGGGGGGAACCAAAGCCCTAGTTATTACCTTTGACTTACACCAGCCTAAAAGATCTAGGGCTCAGCCCCTCCCCCCCCCCCCCCCCCCCCCCCCCACAACTGCCTCGTCGTGACCCCATATCAGCCAACGCTCAACAGCTACCCACCCCCCAAGCCCAAGTGCCATCTACAGGGGATGATATTAGTGACTCTCTGCCGCCAATTCCACTTATTGCCATTAACTCTCAACCTACCAGCCCTCCTAACGCCAATCTCCCACCCCCCACTTCAAACTTACCCACACCCCCACAAAAAATCCCCACTAAAGACTCACACACTTCCCCGAGGAGGCCCCCCGAGCAAATTAACACCCCCACGCAAACTGACCCGCAACCTAAACCTATCCCTACTGAAAACCAAACTGTCCTGGAATTAAACGCACATGCTGATAAAATATTAAATGACCACTACATCCTCCCCTCACCTCTAATGCTCCAAGCCCCTGGCATCCGCATCTACAAAAGTACTCATAAACGTCCAAATTTCACTATGATACAGTATTTAGAACAAGAAAGATTTGAACATGAAATTCTCAGTATTCAGGACCTTAACTCATTCCTTACCGACATTCAAGACCAGGGCATCCAACTCACCACCCAATTCATCATCAACAGCACTGCCCACTTTATTAAGGAAACTTATCACCCCCTCCTAGGACAGGACTTCACTATGGCTAAATACTTACTAACAGGCCCACTTGTTGCTATAACCTAAAACCACTTGACACTTGCCCTCCCCCGCCTTCCACCTCCCTGTACTTAGCGCCATAGCCTCCCCCCCCCCCCAAAAAAAAAATCCAAATAGGATCGCGATCCAAATCACCCACTTCTAACTCACTTCTCCGACGTCCGCGCCTCCAATCAGGATTTTCCATACTACTCAATACTCTTTCACTTAACCAGCCATAAGCTACCAGCACCCCAAGCCCAATGCAGCTTAACTGCTACTCTAATCAACCCCCATAACTCCCCACTACTGGCCTAGTCCAGGTTACTTCCACCCCCCACCCCCCTGACAGTTTTTTGGGTATGGTGTTTACATATTTATACCATATTTATTTTAGTAATACCACCTACCCCGTCTGCGAAATGCAGTAAATGCGAAGCGGACGTAAAACCCATAAATCAGTCAGCTTCAACCTCGTCCAATTAAGCTATGGCCGGATTTACGAAAGTTGAGTATGTCTTGTCCCAGAAAGGTGCCCCACAAGTTCTCCCAGTATGCTAAGAACAGGACAATCTGATGCCATGAACGACTACATCGTTACGACATGGGTGGATGACGATGCCCGGTTCCCACCTCGACTGTGGAATCCCCATGCGACACAAGGGCCCCGTACAAACAACAACCTAGAAGGTTTCCACTCCAGAATCGGCAAGTCCCGCCAGCACAAGCATCCAAACATCTCCAGATTTATCGAACTGATCCAGAAAGTAGAAATTTCGGAGAGAGCGAACTAGCGCAGATGCAATTTGGAGCAGCACCGCCACCCAGGAAGGTTGTCTACAAAGAGAAAGAACATCGCCTTGTCCGACTCAAGGAACAGCTTCATC